ATCGCGACCATAGTGCGCCACTTGAAGCTATTCAATGTGGATGGCAGGAAAGGAGTGCCCGGAACCGATTACTCGACCCTCTTCTCCGGTCCCATGAAGCCTGCTATAGTGGGTTGGGAGCGACGCTTCCCGGACAATTCCAAAGGGTCCTTGAACTAGGCCGCTTTCCTGCAGGTTACCTTTCGTCTCCAGTCTTTTCCCAACTAGTACCTTGTAATAAGCAACCTGTATGATTAGAGCATTCAGTCCATAGTCAAAGAAAGAGATATGACCGCTGACCAGTCAGCATAAAGATCCAACATCCCAATCTTGAACCGTGATTGTAGACAAACCGAGGGTGAATGAATGAATGCACGTGAGATCCCTCGTGCCATCGTTCCACCACCTGTGAAACTGGCCCCCCTTCCATCCGAGGGTCAATTCTCACTTACCTTGACATGCGCGTCAATACAAGTGCTGTCCGTGTACCAGCAAAACCGCGTATATGAAATACCACCCCAAGGCAAAGAAAACTGCATTGAGATAAGGCGCACACATGCGCAGGGTGGCGTCTCAGAATGAACAAAAAAGCAAGTAAATAGAACAGCGAGGATAAGGCTAGACCCATCTCGCCACAAAGCAAAGCAAAGTAGAAGAGGCATTTGACCTATTGTTCCGCGGGATGATGTACAGAATGCGACCCAGAGCCTGCTCCTGAACACTGAGGCTGAGCGCCAGCAAACACACACACAGCGCCACCTGCGGGTGAAGGGCCCGAGTATGTCAAAATAAGGATACGATATGGGGAAGGTGGAAGGGCGTGTGACCGACAGAAAAAGCTGCGGGCCGAAGTGTCTGACCCAGTGATGGATAGTTGAAGGTTTGATAATAGGTAGAATAGATTACCTAGACGGGGATAAATTGCGATCATAATGACATATAAAAAGTACATGGGGGAATTTGGCGCTGATCGACAGGCCTGGACCTGGAATACGAAGCCCGGAGGAAGCATCCAGAAATGGATGAATCTGCAGTGTAGTATACCTAATGTAGGGGACGGAGGCTCATGACAGATTTGGTCGTGAAGGTGTGTGTGTGTGAAAGGCTGACCTCATCGCCGAAACAGGACTGCAGAACAAACAACTTCAGAGTGGCTCTATCATCATCATCATCCACTTCCAGGATCAGAATCCATTGAATGGAGCCCTGAGGACAAGGTATCCTGCCTGCTCCGGATCACGGGCGTGTGATGTGAAAAAAAAATTAGGAGGGGTGGACATAATATCGTAAAGATCGGCGGGAAATTCGCTAAGCAATATTAAGAAGCCACTGAATTGATGACTTGTCAGCGCGTAATCCCGGGATTCCAGGAGGAGCAAGGGAACATCCGCAATGTGATCGAATTGCCAACGCAGAGATCTGGTGACCCGGAGATCGACAGTCGCCAGGTCCTACAACGCTAGAGACACAGTCCTCCGGCTCCCAGCACCGGCAGACATGGGGAGCAGAGGGAAGAAGAAAAAAAGTACCTGAGCTGGTTTGAAGAAAAGGCTACGGACAAGAGGAGGTTTGATTTCGCGTGTCTCTTCGCGGGGCGTACAAATGATGCTGACTGTTGCAAAGAGGCCAGCCGCCATGTGACCACGTGATGGAGTCGGTCTGGCAGTGCTGAGAGCATTCAGGTCACCTTATTCGCACCTTCTCTTGGGCAGATGAACTGGATACGAATGCTAGGAGAGGAAATACTCCCGTATTGTGCCGGCAGATGACGATCTTTGGGCATCGCGGGGAGAATCTGGGGAAACATTGACCTTGTGGATCTGTCTGTCAGAGCCGACTGCAAGTATCGCCAGCTGTGGATGTGGAATACTGTGCAATATCTCGACTGTAACCATCTGACGTTGACCTCAACCTGTCAGTGTGTCTATCTTTGCTTTTTTCCGACCCCATTCTGGCATCTGGCGTCGTCTTGTGGCTTGTATGATGGGAGCGCGCATGTCCACTGATCTTCTTCACGTTGGCCTCCACCCTGTGGATGTTATACTCTATATGGACATATACGTACGTCTCAAATAAGGCAGAACTCCGACTTACGAGAAGAAGAGGGTCAGTAGGTGAAACGGTTACCTAAAGTTCTAACCCAGTGTACCCAAGTTGTTGGAAGGATTCTATATCAAGTCTTCGGCAGAGTTTCACCTAACAATGCAGACAGCACAGCTCCTGATAACCGGAAAATTGGCTGCTGCTACCCTCCATGAAGAAAGGAAGTTAAACCTAATCGATCACACCGACACTTTGGGTCTTCCTTCATTGGGATTTGGCCAGCGATATTCGCCCGCCGTGAAGTCAAGCGCAGATGATGCTATGATGATTCCAGACCAGGCTATGATGATAACCCTGTCAACTTGTTTGCAAATGAACATCGGCTGCACAAAGCAGGTAAACTGAGAATTCACCGGCTGGCATTCGCAATAGGACTATACACGGGGTTATGATAGGCATGGGCATCCTGTTTCTCGTCCACATTCCCAAGAAAACAAATGATAGCGCGGTACAACGCTCCACCAGCCTCTTCGAATCACTGTCAGCGACTTTCATCTTCTAGTTTACCCGTCTGGTATAGAGCAAAGGCAAGGCAATGCAAACCAATCGAGTTAAATAAGCAGGCGAGTGGTACAGCACAAGTACCTCCGTATGTAAACGGGGCTATTGATACCGACGAAAACCTCGATGGAACCCCGGCAATACGACTAGCGACTAAACCGCCGCGGAATACCCAGTCACTTGGCTCCTATCCCACCAGCATTCCGATCTTGATATGCAGGGAGACACCGACGCCATTGTACCACACCATATGGTGACATTAATTTCCCAAGCCCTATGCGATCCCTGATCTTTCAACAAAGCCACAACTCAAATCATACCGGGCGTACATTTGTCTGTGCTACCGTGATCGAATGGTGATTAGTCTTGCCGGGAGTGGGAGAAGAAAAGCCTCACTAAGAAACGCGTCCCCAACTTCCCCGCCAAATCATCGTTGTGACTAGGCTTGCTCCCCGCGCCTCCCCCTCACTAACCAGGCGCACAGAGCGCTGCTTGTTCTGATTCGCAGGTGGCTTTTGCGATTAAGGACGAATCGAGTAAGCTGAGCCCGGATGAATGTAACTTGGACCCACTGACGAGGATATTCAGGAGCGTGACTTGGGACCCTAATCTAAGGGTAATACAGCTAGCTGCCAGCTACGAGCCCCCGGCTGCATAACACGGCATTCACAGTGTGTGTTGGGTAATAGAATATGTGCGACAATCCCAACAAGCGGTAGGCCTACATGTACGGATCGGGATTTGGGAGCAGTTGGTCTACAACCGCTGCACTCAACGAATCAAGCAATCGCCTGACTCTCTGGACGCCGTAGCTTCAAGTGTGAACCAGCAAATTGAGGTAACGTGAGACATGCCATTGGTTGTGAGCTCGGGATAGCGCGTATTCGAGGTACGCCGCACCAGGAAAAGTCATTGCCATCATGTGACTCCTAGGCCTTCCGGCTAGCCCGGAAAGGGGATCAGTTTCTCCGTGATTACTCCGTCCATACGAACCTGGCCCTGAGCCAAAGCACCAACAATTGTCCCTGGAAACCAGCAATCCATGCCCAATGAAGACCCAGTTGTACCTACTCTGTTAACTAATCGACCAAAAGTCCCGATTCCCGGCAAGCTTCAATGGTGTTTTTCGAAATCACTGAATCGGTCACCTAGTATGCGGAATTCTGTGCGCTGGGAATCCCGCATCCGACGGAATCTCGCCGCGTAAAGATACACGCTAGCCTCCTCCGGCAAGGCAGATACAACTAGTGCGGATCGTCTCGACCTTCGATGGACGGTTCCATGTTGTCTCTAGCGGGGTTCTACGCATAGCATGAACTCAAATCGGAGCGACGTCCTCCGAGCCCGTAACTGACGTTAAACGGCTGCTCAGTCTTAATACTGGAGAGTGGCCTCGATGCACAAACAACCACAGCTGTGTTGTGTTGCTATACTTGGAAGGTGTTGATAACTTGATATCCGCCTATCTCCATAATGACGACGATGGTAGTGATGTGGCTGGTCTCACCCAAGGCTGCCAGAGATAGCGAGCTTACCTTTCTCGTAACAACAAGGACAAAAGCCCTTTGCCAAAATCAACAAGTCAATTGGTATGCGCATGCATGTCAGGACGGCCACTAAGGTGAACGGATTGGGCCAATCATCAAGTTACCGGAGGCGGTCTACACAATCTTCGCTATTCCCATGCACCCAGAATCCATATACATGGTCAGGTGAGAAGGTCGATTTCAGTATCAACGAGCGGATACGAATGATCGTCCACAAAAGATCACTCTAGGCTACTATTTACCATCGGGCACCGATCTGGAGATCAAAATCTTCTTCCTCATACCAAATTATCTCCACCGTCATTGGCCTATACAGGAAGGAAAAGTCTGCTAGCCGCAACCTGAACCCATCGTCGCCTGTGTGTATACGCTAAAACAGACTAAAATTACACCATACAAGCAGATACATACAATCCACCCCCGCTAAATACCGAAAATGACCACTACGGTAAAACCACACCAGCCATCGGGCAAGTACACCGACAAATCCGTCCAGACAAAACAAAAGTATAATACCACTCTAAGCCAAATCCGTACCACGATCCCCAAACCCCAACCCTCTTCTAGAAGACTTCTCGAAGGCGCACCACACCAAAATCGGCATCATCGGTTGCCTTGCGACCGTAAACGTGGTTAGCGCCAAACACTCACACATGGCATGTGATCGTTTTTCGCCTCTCGATGGCATTTTTTTGCCTCCTGGAAACAGCTGGTAGGTGGCTGATACTAGCGGTGGTTTGAGATTTTGGGTGATCGAATCAGAATCTCGGGATGTCTGAAGGGGGCCAGCCGGTTGCCTGGGCCGTAAGATTGTGTATGTATTACTCTACATAATCCTTTCGCTAGCTGGTTAGTTAGTTAGCTTTTCACAAGCCCTTTCTTTGTAAGACAAATAAGCAGGCCGACTTGATCCACATTTAATACAAATCACATTCAAACCATGAACACATACTCCGTTACGTATCCATCCACGCTTTGACCCAAACCCTACCTAAGCCAGTGGCTGGTAATCGCTGCCGATGCAGCCCAAGTATACTATATCACGTGATCATGGGGGATTATGATCCTAATATGCATTCACAATGCCTCTCCGATTAACCCAAATATCTAACCAAAGATATCAGGGCCCTTAGGATGGAAGTCAAGTTTCTGAATGATCAGCAAGGAATTGAAACCCATGGTTACCAGAGGGCCAACCAAAAGCATCAACAGGTCATCTTTCCAGACCACTAAAGGTCCTGACCTAGAGTTGCTCGGTGCTAAGACTCTCAAAATCACCCTAAGTGGCTGCGTTCACAGTTATCCGTCTCTTGAGAGTAAGCTCTGTCTGACTTCGGGGCTTCGAATTATACTCTTAATTATGCCGATACCCGTGTCAATAACATCTCTCTATCTTCGAGCTCGACTTTGGTTAGGCGAGAAGCGCTATGAGTGAGCGACACCCGACTGATCAAAGGACCATGTTACTCAGCGGAGCTAGAAGGCCTAAGATACGTCGCGCAACACACACCCATTCCCGTCCCATGTTCGCCGGGTGGTTTCCTGAGTATTGGGAATATACGAAGGCGTTTTACACGCTTTATGATATTCCAGATTGGTATGATGGGTTGAAAAGGGAATTGACTAGGTATGATGACGAGTTGGCGGCGGAGAGGGTGTTATGGAATCGATTTGATCAGCCGGGGGATCATCTCCGGAGTTTTTATGAGAGGAATAGAGATGGGTAGGTGGGTGTGGCTTTCTACTGTCTTTTTTTCTTGTCCGATTTTTCTTTTCCTACGGCAGTACACTTGATATTGTAGCTGGTCTGGATGATGTGTCGTATAGATCTAAGATGTCATGAATCTGATATCATGTGACTGCCAAGTCTACATCTTAGCAATAAGCCGGGGGGGGTGGCCCCCGACCGGTCAACGGAGCAGACCAGTGCGGTAACTTAACAAAAGAACAAACAGACAAGCAAATTGAATACGTACCTAGCTCGGCATTTCCCCGATCAATGGATCCATGCGCCCGTCAGCCTCAACGACCGTCGTCATACATACTATACTGAGAAAGAAACTAACTCCCAAAAGAATCAGGCTGAAACAAACAACCTCTATCCTCTCCGCCACGTGCCGAGACACACTTAGTCTACTGCAAAGTAACTTAACTATCAAGTGGCAAGGACAGAAATCAAGAAAAAAAAAGAAGCTATCCACTAGCTACACACCAACTCCCCGAGTCTAGACAATCGGCTTACAACAAGATAGCCAAGTCTAGATTCAACCCACAACCACACATATTTAGTGTGCATATGTGTGTGCGGTCAAGAAGTGAACACGTACATATGATGGGGCCGGGAAGGGAAAGAAAAACGGTGAGCGAAGGGAAAGTTGCGGGAAATAGAGTTCAGAATGTTCTCGGAGAAATAGAAGAGCAAATGATAAAACAAGATATTCGGTGTCTAAGTTAGTTGAGTTTTTCTGTTTGGTATTATTCCGAATATACCCCATTGTGTATGCAGGTCGTGAATGGATGTGTGGATGGGAAAGAGAAAATCTCGGCATGCCGAGCTGGATTGGGGAGTCGGGCCGGGTAGGTAGCTGGTTGGCTCGTTGGTTTGGTTGGCTGAGATGTCTCGGTCGGGCACCGTTGGTCATTGGTTATTAATATTCATGGTATTATTATTTCGGGGCTTTACAGGGTAGGAAATAATGGAGAGAATTATTAACAAGGTCAAAGGTTTATTCACGGCGATGTATGTAGATAAAGATACAGGTTGGGAGTTATTGCTCCACATCCAGCCATCAAGGCAATAGAAACGAGTGACGAGAAAATCAAGGTTATCAGTGGATGGATGGACAGTCCGTATACTGTATAGAGATCAAATTGAAAGGAGGGGAGGCTGAAGGGTGAGAACTGGATAGCCAAGTAAGGATGGATGGATGGATGGATGGATGGATGGATGGATTGAATACAACCTTCCCAAATCAGCCCGAGTACTGCACCTGTCACTCAGATACAGTGTCACTGTATAACACAGCTCACAGTACCGGTGAAGGCTACTTTGTTCGGGGGAGGAACGAATCACTTGGCTGCCCGATCTCAGAACCCGCTCCACAAAGGGCCCGCAATTTGAAAAAAACTAAACTAGTTAGCAACAAGTTATCCTGGGAATTGACACAAGGGAAAGAAGTGGAGGAGGGCCCCCCTCTCTCTCAGCTGACAAAAAACCACTCGCGCGGCGTCCACCCCGACTTTCTGCAGGGGCAGTAAACTCTTTCGGGCCAAGTTTCCCCTCAGCCGCTTTGCGCTGGTGGTCGGGGTTGGATCCACCGCCGTGGTCTGGGTGTTTGAGAGAACCACGGGCTGGCTTTTGCTCCACGTTTTCGGGCAGATTCGGACGTCAGAGTTTGCAGGTTTGTAGGGAACTCGGATTGTCATTGGTGTAGTCTATCGGGAGATTCAGGGAGATATTGTGGAGAATTAAGAGGAAAATCAGGAGGGAATAATGTAATTTCTCTTCCTACTTTCCTTTACGGAAAGCACAGTATGCTTTTCTGCCTTCCAATGGATCCGATCCGACCCTTTTTCGGATTGTGCTTATGTTTGCTTTTTTGCGCGTGAAATTCGGTTGGTTACCAATTTGTGCGTGTTATTCAGGTGTCTTAGTACTTTTCTACCAAGTACTGGTTAGCTGGGTAGCTGGTTAGTTACCTAGCTAATTTGGTGACACCTAGTTAGTCTCAGCTAAGGAATGCGACCTGTTCGACTGACATAAAACGGATTACAGCGGTCCGAGGGATTCTGTTGAATGCAACAATATACGGAGTAATTAACTCATTAGTAAGTTGATGTTACTTGACTCGTTGCTACTATTTACTAATAGTCCACTCCATATTTCCAAACTCCGGGTTTCCTGGGAGTACCCGCGTTACGTCATTGTTGTTGAAGCAATGAAGATGTCAGTGCGCACGAGACCAGGGCCAATGCAACTTATCCCGAACTTTATACTGGGATTAGTCCGCTATTCCCCAATGCATACCATCCACATAGGACAGCTTCTACGATATGCCATTGTGTAAATGAAAGCAATAGATACTTCGTAGTTGTAGACAGATACGAGATCCCACTACTCCATAGATAGACTTCTTCCGACCCGCTCAGTAAATCTGCAAGGCGTGCGCAGATGACCTGCTTATTTCCAATGGAGCTGCGCGATAGCCTCCACGGCAGTCATTGCATACGGCAGTTATTGAGCTCGAGCTCTTCACGGCAGAGTCTAGAACAGGCAGGCAGGTTGAAGAACCGCTGCGACCGTTTTCCAACTCTAACAGGGGCTGATTACGAGCTGCACCTCATCCAGCTTGAAGTCAATCTTAATACCTGACAATATCTTTCATAGTATACTCTACACCACCAACTCATCCCATCATACTTCATCAACGCCATGCCAACTAGTTACTATACCTCGGACAATTATGCTTATCCTGAAACCAAAAAGCACATGGACAGAACAACACACAGAACAAAATAAGAAGAATCAAAGTTAATCTTCTCCAAATACAAAGTTCCGACAAAAACCGCACTCTTAACTCAATCAAACAGCATCTATCTAACCAGTAGAGAGTGACGCAAATGCCCGACCGGGCTTTCTTGATCTAGCGACCCCGATATACTTTGCGAAAACACAACGCGCAGACACACACGCACACACACATTTCTCCCTGATCTGCATCCATCCTTATTCCATCGAAGCTAACCAGACTAGATCTCGTGGACCACACAACAGATCGTAGTTCGGTGAGTAGAACTAGTAGATGATGATGTTATCAAGGAGTTGGTACCCAGATCATGATGTGAATCTGATGTGACCCTGGAGTAATCCGCCCGGTTCAGTCGGCTTTTCTGGCTTTTTTTCGTCCCCGTCATACCTTCCCCCCTCCACCTTTCCCCCCTCCACCCCCTGTTCCCCTCCAAGAGCAAACTGTCATTGATTGTTGTTGGTTGGGTATGACAAGGACGGCGGGGGGGTTAGGTTCAGTATGTATGTAGGTAGGTGGGGGGAGGGACGGGAACCCCGAGATGCCCTTCCTTGCCTTCCATCATGCTCCATGGAAGAAGAGTTTTGTGATCACATCGAACTCAACTTAAGTGGTTAGTAGTAACTCGATAGTAGATGTTCACAAAACATACCGAACAAATACATACGTACACCCATAGCTTCTCTTTCCAGTTACTTTCTCGCCTCCCTCATTTCCAATTTTAGAATTAAGTTCTTATTTTATTTTACTTTTCTCTTTGTGTTTTTCCTTCCCTCCCGATCGAAACGGTCTAATGGAGGGATCTTAATATCGGGCGCATGTGAAGGGGAGGGAACCAGGGGATCAGTGCGAGATTCTAGATCTCAACAGGTACGGCCTGTGGTTCGAGGGTTGGGGAGTTCCCCTCACTCTTCCCCTACCCTCCTATTCATTTTTACTATTATTATATTATTGTTGTTGTTATTATTTTCCCTTGCTACGTGTCAGTGCGCCTTAGCCCAGGCCCACGGCGGCCAGCGGCCCATGGATGGATGGGCTTCGGTGTAGAGTCGCGTCACCACACCACATCACACCACTTTCTCTCTCTCTCTATTTAGGTTTCTTTCTTAAGACTTTTACTGCTAAAATCAAGGAAGATGTAGCTCATATCATATCCAATGTGGATTTCTATTTCGCTGGATTTCTTTTGGTTTGGGAGGAATTTAAAACACAAATAGCAATCTCACAGTAGCATACATGGATGATAACATGCGCAAAGACAGGCAGCGGGAGGTAGTAAAGTCACGAACAAGTAGTGGTATCTGGTATCAAGAAGAGCTAAACTGGCTGTTCCCAAGATGCATGTTTGCAATGTTTTTCTGCCGCTTCAAAATAATCAAACGCAGGCTGCCTCACCCTGACGCAATCACATCCATAATAAGAAAAAATAAAACCCTCTTTTCTTTTCAGTATGTCCACCCATAGTAAGAAGTGAAAAAAAGAGAAAGAAAAAAAAGAGACAATGAAGACCGTATCCGACCATGCATCGCCAAAGAGGAAGTTTCATCTGTACATGTGAAATTAAGGATGTAATAAAAGGCGTTGTCCCTCCGGTGGCCCATATATAATGACAGCAGACAGCCTCACAATGCAATGTTGAAAGATGGGGTAAGATGAAAGGAAAAGAAAAAAGAAAAAAAGCAAAACAATGACCCGAAACGCATTAGGTCGGATATAACAGCCGTATGATCCCTAGGTGCGCCAATATGCAATGCAGTCGTGATGGTACGTGTCACAAGGATGATAATCAGTCGGCGGTCTTTACATGTTTTGGAAAAGAAAAGAATCGAGGAAACAAGGAAGTAGCCGTTCGAGTATCGGGTATCATAGTCAACAAACATTACCGATCCAGAAGAAAGGATATGCTTTGACACAGATAATGAAAGGCGAAGACGTGTCGATGAATCTGTCAAGGGCTTCACCACCCCTTCACATGGTATTCCCAAGGTCCAAAGTCGGTGTAGTGAGTAAAGGATCCGGTCTTGTCCTTACCCTGACTGGTAGCCTTGGTTGCAGCGCCACCGGCCTGGCCGGCTGGCTGTCCCTTAGACCCCTTCGGTCCAGGGTATTCTTGTAGATTGGCCATATCATGCGCCGTATGTCTGCGCTTGAGGAATGCGTTGGCAGTCGCACTCTTCTGTTGACGTTCCCACAGCAAGTGTCGGCGGAGAGACTCGGTCAGTTCGGTAGCAAGCATGTTGCGACGAGTTGTCCGTGGGGAGTGAGCAACAGACTGCGGGGTGGGCTTCATGATGATCGGCTTTGAGCGAGGGACGTCGGGACCGCGCATCGTCAAGTTCTCGTCATCATCCTCAGGCGGTGATGCAGGGATCGAAGGACCATTAGGTGAAGTAAGACGCGAGCGTTGTAGGGCTGGACTAGACCGGGTCGGAGCGCCCATCTTAGTAGGCTGATGCATCATCATGGTGAGAAGGGAGCGACGCGAAACAAGGTTGGGCCGGGAATCCACACGTTGGAAGAGTTCCTTCTCCTCAACACTGGATCGGCCACTCTCTGTAATCGAGTCTTCCCAGTCAGAGTCCGAGTCCTCAATAGCACTCTCAGAAACTTCGTCGTCAGTCTCGACGGCATCCTCATTATCCATAGCACGTTCCCGAATAGGCTTGATAATTTCGTTCTGATCCCTGAATGAAGCCACCTTTTTCCTGAGATCCTGGCCATTTGCCGAAGGCTTACTCAGTTCATCAGAAAGAGAACTGCGATGCGGCCCTTGCAGTGCCATGCGATCCTCGAAGCTGCTTTCATCGTCATCACCCGACGAGCCTCCAAGAGTGAACATGCCGCCCTTCTTCTTGAAGGGAGTGGGCTTAAGCTGTGCTGGAGGCTTGGCCGGACCAGGTTCGGCAGCCAATCTAGGTTGCGACCGGTATGACGAGGAGATGACAGAGGGAGAGAATCCGCGGACGATGCTTGGCGACTTGATCAATTCGGATCGGGTAAGGATGCCGGACGAAGAAACACTAGTGTCAGACCCGGCAGCATTGCCATTGTTATCGCTGTCATTGCCTTCGGGCGCAGTAGTCGAGCAAGACTCAGTAGACTGGTTTGGTTGTTGGCTCAGAGGGTACGGGGGCGGGGTTGGCGTCCGCCTCGCCGTAGAGACAGAAGGAGGGGTGGCGGGAGTAGGTGTCGACGGGCGCGGTGTAATATCGACGACAGGGGGCTCGACTGTCGACATGACGGTAGAGATGGGTTCAAGGTTTTTCTTCTCTTTGATGTTAAGCACCATCCGCTCCAAACCTAGAGATGTAATATGCTTCTCCTTTCCGCGGGCAAGGCTGGCCATCGAATCCTCACGCACCACCGCCGGCTTGTAGTCCAAGCACTTCGGGCGTTTAATGTGATGTTCTATCCGCTCTGCCTGCTCGGATGCCGCCGATTCAACACTCGCAGAAAGTTCTGGCAAATCTCCAGCTTCGGAACGAAGGAGTGGCAAAACCGAGGTAGTGCTGGAGGTCTCCGGCTCCACACAGAAGGTCTCACGTGTCCAGAGTCGCCAGCTCAGGTTTTCCAGACGTCGGCCTTCCTCCATATAGTCGGCACATTTCGAGAAGACTAAATTCCGAGATCAATTGTCAGCCACCAGACGCGACTGATACCTGCAACGGTACACGATGCACTTACCCATCCACATGCCATGCAGGCTTTGCGCATTGGCTGTATCGACCTTATGGATCTTGGCCGTATCCACCGTCAGAACGGGGGTTGAAAAACGCGAAGCCATTCTAACGACGCCACAATTCCGAAGATGCTGAATTTCCTCAAACGATTCTTTTCTTCCCCGTAGGAGTGTAGTTTCGGGGTCGCCGTCTCCCCCAAGCGTGGTCGTTCGGCGCGAGAAATTGCGAGATAGACCTCTTCGATCCTCCAAGGTTACTGAGAGTAACGCCTCCAAGTTTGGGTTCTGCAGCGTGCTGCAGAAAGTCGATTGAATTGAAAGTGGCGCCCAAGCTGCCCGTCAAGTGCAGCAAGTGTCGAGTTCAACAATTGCTGTGCGAGATGGAGTGTGGTATGGCGCAACAGAGATCGATCCGGGGTAGGTCGATTGATCGAAGCCGGTTCCGTAAGCGGATCCTTCACACTTCCAGTACTACCTATCCAAGAGAGACACGACCGAAAACGACAAACGGTCGGGGTGGGTGAAATTTGAACGAAGGTTCAGGCGTCCTGGCGCGAAGTATGTAGATATGGCCGGTTCAGGGAGGTCGGAGATGGACGTGGGGGTGAGGATTGAGGGTGATGGGCGAGAGGAATGAGTGAAGGAGGAAAGAAGGAAGGGAAAAAATCGAAGGGGAATATGGGGGAGGAGAACCTTAGTCTGGCTGGTGGAGCGGACGAAGAAAAGAGGAAAAGGCAAGATAGTTAACGGACGGGTCGGTGGAGAATTGGGGGGAAGAGGGAGGGAGGGTGGATGAGAGAGCGTCCGGTATGAACTGGTAACGGGTTCAGTACAAGGGGAAAAAAGGGAAAAAAAAAAAAAGGCAGAAAATGGGAATTTGACGGTGGCCACAGAAAAGTCCGATGGGGGTACGTACCGAGGGAGAGGTACTGTGGTTGACCAGCCATGGGGGATGGCGGTAAGTACAAGGATGGGCTCCTAGCCGCGCCTCCTCCCCATCCGTGGTCCCGGATGTGTGATTAATCTTGGGATTATTTGCGTTCTTTTTTTTTTTCCTCTTTTTCTTTTTCCGAATTTTTGATTTTTCTGAAATTGAAATTTCCCCTTTGGTAATGGTACATCCGGAGTACCCCCGTGGGTCTACTGGTATTTCATACATGGTTATAACACCGGTAATATTACCATCGGTCTGTTTCCGGAGTCCCACATTGGAACAAAGTACGAAGCTGGTATTGAAAAACAATTACTACTAGTTGAAGTGCTCCGTAGTAAGGCAGGTACTTCTACTAAACCCAGTAGGGCCAGCTATACATCGGTGAATGCGTTCCCCCCCCCCCCAGCCAGCACTGCAACCAGATGAAGCTTGACCCTGGATCTGGATAGATACATACTAATACCGTCCAGGTATGGACAAACTTCCCCCAAAATGGATCACTCAAAAAGCCTCAAGGTTTTTGTGACCTGATGCCTTGATTCACCCTGGCTCTCGCTTCATCTCGGACCGGCAGCATTATGTATGCATCACCGACAAAGCAAAAGCCCCTGGAGAATAGCCCCAGTAATGACAACAACAACAACAACAACAACAACAACAGGGGGGAAGGGAAGAAAAAGGCCACAGGGGATCGTTCTAGACAAACATTCAAACAAAGATCAACCCGTCCTGTGACCATCGCCTCGGCTGACTAAGGGCAAGGCATCTTTAACAGTTCACCAGTCAATCGATCGGGTCACTTGACTTCTCAAAAATGGGTCCCGAACGATTGGCCGAGGCGAAGTGCTGCTGATATCACTCCGCACTTGTCAAGTCGCCAGGGCTGGTATACTGTAGGAATCGGGTTAATGATCACTACTATTGAAGACCTAATGATGATAGCCACTTCCATCATTGTACCCATCATCCAGATCCATTCATTCAGTGTCATTTTTAGGCACCGTGCCTAATCCCTCGCCTCCTCAGGGGCATTTGACACTTCACCACCACCCACCGCTGGGCTATGATTATTATGTCCTGCTGACTAGCGACTTATTCCTCGATTCAGTTCAACTGCTTTCGTCACGGACATGCTTAGTTTCGGGCAGATTCTTGTTATCCAAATGTGACTAAGAGAACCCTAGGCTTTACCGTCTACATTCTGGGCACCTCCCCCAAGCCACGTTCCTGTTACCCGGCCTCTTGGACATCAACATCTTACACACACTACCCGACTTAGTTCTGAAACCGGGCATTCCGGCACTTGACCTCATCCCCATCTTATTGACCCTGATCCCCTTTTAGGCTCAAGCGTGTCGGCTCGAACTCTCACTTTCTACATCCATATGATATGTCGACGTGGATGGTTCAATCATCCCGGCTGAAATGGCCTGAGCACTGATCTTCCTTACTGTTTCTTATTAGCCGGCGGTGGTATGTACCTTCGCAAAATGCCCCAGGCGGAGTCGCATACCGGGGAAAGAGCGCAGCGTTTCCGATCTGGATGATCATCTCACACCAACATAGTTCTCCCTCTTATCAGTTCAATGCGCCCTCCGAAGTCTGCACCAGTTATGTATGTACCCTGGATCGCGAGTTTTAACGCCCTTTTACTCTCCAAGCCACGATACCTCAAAAGCACTTTTGATTTGAGATTTTCAAAGTGAAAATGTCCAATGACAATGTATCCCTTTCAAATACCGCTCTCAGGAGACTGGTATACCTAATTTGAGTGACCTAACGACAGAGTATTCGTGGTCGCTCATTCCTCACCCCATCCGTAGTCACAAGGTGAAAATCCTGCCAGCTGTCATTAAGTACTTGTGATGCCATATTCGCGGGAAACGGTAGGTATCAGTAGTATATCCCCCAAGTGAAATCTGAAAAAATGAAAAAAGAATGAGGGAGATACTACATACAACACGTATGATACAATCGTTCACAAGGAGTAGATACTTGGGTTGATTACCCGCCTGTACGGTTTAGCCCTTCCCACCCTCCTCCACCCCCTTTTTTTTCCTGTCACGGGGCCTTGCAAAAACTTCCCAAACGCCCCGTTGCGAATAATAACAGTATCAATAATAGACTAAAACGCCACACTTGATCCTTCATCGCGGATCCCCGGGTGAGTGGTTCGGGGAACTAGGATTCAGAAGATCCGCCCGATTCACCATCACCACTGCCCTTTTGGAAACTGACAGCCAGTGCCAGTTCCCAAGCCGTCAGCCCACGTTTTACAATCATGTGATGTTCCACGTCAAAGGTCCAGGTCCAGGTCCCCCCGAACACCTGATAGATGAGTTGTAAATTGGAAAGTTGCTGTTTCATCTTCGGAGTAAAAGCCCGTCATCTGCTTGCATAGTAGTAATTGCTTCACCAAGGCGGGCTTCCCGTTGGTGTAGATTGTTTTTCCATCTTCACCAAACCATCTCCAAATTTTCTCCGATGTATGAATTACGGAAGGAAAAAATAAATTAGAAGAAGGCACAAAGCAAAAGCTCAAGGGGCTGGATGTGGAGGGGTCGTGACCACGCCGGCTTATTGGGGCCCAAAGGGAGTTACCAAGCCTCACAGGGCCCTGTCGAATTAGTAGTTAGCGACGTTGAACGATCTGCAAGGCGGTTCACATTGTGGTCACTTGCTGGTTAAAAAGTCGATCGCATTGCCGGATAGTAGTAAACGCTCTACGGAATGCCCCGTAGCATGGGGAAGATACTACTATACGCTCTCTCCTTTGTTAGGGAAGAGAGTTAATATTGGGGGACGGATGGTCCAGGTAAACCCCGCAATGATATAAACTCTTACCAAGACTAGGCAGGCGCTATTAATTAGACAGTGATAGTTAACTACTAAGTCAGGATCGGCATTTGCGAGCGCAAGTAAATAGTAAAAAGTAAAGCTCAATAGCTAATAATTGAGCCCACATCCGTCTTTCTTGCATATTCAATGCAGACAATAACCCAGAGCAGCATTATCTCCTAGGCACCATAGCTCTGTTGGCAGGTGGGAATCAGGGAAACCCGCCAACACGGTGAGCTTATTCGCTTCGCTTGCAGCTGGGGGGCGGACACCTCCGCTTTCAATGATCCAAGTGCTCAGCTGCCATCTTTCATGCATGGAATCGTTCCACAGCAATGCTTCTAGAGGGAGCCACGTAGCTGCGCCCTAGCCCACTCGATCACACCCCGATTCATCAGGCGTACCTCTTGCAGGTGTGTGCCATGAAGAAAGAGGGAATTCCATGGATGACGCCCTTCTTTCTTCCAGAATCCTACGGAGCTACGTTCTTATCTGGGTACATTGGCCGGTTAAGCTTATGGGAGAGTTCAGTCATTCCCTAACGATGGGATGGGAAATGCTCCAATATACTCTCCGCGTTGTTGATCATATCCAGGTAATCTCTCCGGATGATGATGATGATGATGATGTACGAGATACGAAATTATACCATGGTTGGAGCACGCTATCTCATGATTCCCTATGTAGGAAAAGGGCTTTACAAATTCTGGGGCAATCAAGCAACTGTTCATCGACAATTGGCTGTCATTGTTCGAGATGACCTCAAATGTTCGGGAGAATCCGTCAACATATGAGGACTTCCGAGGGACTCCCGAGGGTACACCAGTGGAAGGCAAGAAAAAGCAATCCACATTTGATCGAGGGAGCTGACGTCCATGCCGACGAGAAAGTTGCCGAGGACCAACGGCAACATCAGAATGCCTACCTTGCTGGTAGAACAGGCAGAGGCGACCATTGCTCCGTGGCGTAGATGCCTGCACACTGTACAAAACACAGCTAGCTAGCTAGCTAGCTACAACAGTGAAAGAGGACTGATGTTACCTCATCTCCCGCGCGCCCCCTTTAACGTGGGGGCAAAACCAAACAAACCCGCAGTGGCAAAGCCCACCCCCCAGTCACAAGACCGCTCCCCGTCACATGATGTGGGGTTGTCCCGCGGCATTAATGCGCCACTGGTCGCGGCTGAAGGGGATTCCATGTCTATCCATCTGTCTCTACCAACATCAATGCTCAATCGAATTGATACACCGAGTCGACTCGTTTACAAACACACACACACAGAATTGAACCGTATAGAAACAGTATCGCCCGTACGGCCTTTACTCGGCCCCATCATTGTCGACTGCTCTTCTGACCTGCGAAAGAGCCGACACACCATGATCGATTGCTGACTAGTAGCCAACGGGGATGGAAGGATGCTACTGGACGCAGCTGCATCACGTCAAACAGCGGCTTAGAAGCACCGGATAAGGCACCATGCATCAACTGCAGCTTGCAGACAAAGAATGATAAACAGCAGGTGCCGTCGGTGTCTTACGGAGTACTCCCGCCCGACCTTTAGTCACCACCACAGATATCCGACAGGACGCGCAGGCTAGGAACAACAGGGACGGCGATGCTGTTGTGTTAACACAACGCCTATTGCCTATTTCCTCTATAGGTAGTCTGCCATTCCTTCTTTGGGACTGGGGGAAGTAGGGCGTCAGCCAGGAACACAGTGGCCTCAACTCTACTGAGAACGGCACTGTAGATCATAGAACCGTCTGGATCTTGCACGACATGATCTACGGTATGTTGCTGTGGCTGGTGCCAGACAATCAGACATCCACCCTGGAGTAGTAGTGGACTAACCATCGACGTTGTCCATCTTATGAATAAAGCTTACGATTTTGGGAGCTTCTTACGGTCGCCAAAACTTCCGAGAATGTTGTTGATACCACTCATAACCCCCCAGGGGTCACGAATCCATATGTAAACCGTTTCACCAGGGTGGATATTGCCTCATATTGAGATGATATTGCCTCCTGAAATCTAGCCTTATTTTGAGACGATCTCCAAACTTTCTCCGGCCCTTGAATTCTTTATGCATAGCTTAAAGCTTGGATTGCGCACGGATATCGACTCCCGGGATATGCACTTGGAAGGGATAACGACCCGGGAACACAGGGCAGCCCCGGGTAACACCACTCATTGAGCCGGCCAGCATTGATGTATGGGTTGCTACGGAGCACAAAGCCCAGTATAGACATACGGTCTCTTTTCCTTCAATGTTCTTCCCTTCCCTCACTATCTTTCATTGCTTTTTCCTGCCTTCCCGTCGAATGCCACACGATGGGGAACCGACGTGGTACGTACCACCACCGTTTTCTCCTGAACACAAGTCACATTCCATATTTCCCGGGCCGCATCCCCCGGACCAGCCAAACCCCATGAAGGATTCTTGTCATGTAACCCAGGAAAGGCCAATCTACCAGGAACTGGTTAGCAAATAGACCGATTCAGAATCCGACCTTTGTTCGGGAACCCAGCTTAGCGGCTACCAGATCATGCAAATTTGCAGCTCTCGCTCGCTTTGACCCCCAGGGGAATGGTAGGTTCTCCACGTAAATGCAAGGGTTATAGCGCGGATCGCATTTCAAGGATCTGAGGAACAGGAAAAGAAAAACAAATCATGACTACCCACATCATTGATTGACTGAGTGCTCCGGGAAGCCTATTGCGGTAAAATTGATTTTGCCCTTTCTTTCTTTTCTTCCCTCTTCCATACTCTATGCCCCCTCCCTTCCTCCAATCCTTAACACGCGATAAAACCAATATAAAACATAGCTTTAAACTCACCCGTCGAAGAATGAGCAGCAGCAGCAGCCCTGTTGGACTGGAACACGGGGCCAGGACTTGGACCTCCTCCTTCCCTCTTCCTCATCACCAGCCATCAAAAATCCCTCCCTTCTATCTCTCCTACCTGGACACGTAAGCTATCCTTCTATTCCTCTATCTGTCTTAAGCTCTCCTCCAACCCTGCAAGGAAACCAAGGATTTATCCACCTACCTATCTACCTCGCCACCACAACTTCCTCTTCCACACTCTTTCAATCTGCAGAATGAAAGGCACGTTCACGGAATTACCCCGGATTGATCGCCCCCCACCGAGGCGAAAACGAGGAACACAGTGTAACTGAGTGTGCTACAGACAGTACAACGACCAGCTCACTTACCGTAGACAAATCCTTGGATACTAACTCACTCTGTGCGCCGTAGAATCGATACTTAGCATGATCCATGCATATGTTTGCCCCGAAATGGGAACATTGGATGGATAGCAGATAACACCCACGCCTTATCTATATTTACTACTTAGTACATAAATCACGCAAACTTCTCGATTGCCCGAAAGTAGAATCATCGAGCGGGTTGCCTCTTCAGGCATCTTCCGTCTTGCTGAAGAATAATAGAAGTTAGTTAAGTGGTAATTGGTTACTCCTTGATTCAGGGACGGACGTAATTCAAGTATGTATGTTTTAAAGACAATAAATAAAAGTAGATCATTAGTCATGTAAGTATGTATGCAACAAGTTACATATTTTTCGATAATAAGACTACTACTACACTTTTACTGAGATAGATATATATAACCTCCGGCCTTTTCATGTATTATCATTGTATCACTACTTTCTATTTAAATGACTGATATTAAGTATTCTGGAAGGATAATATCTTCAAAGAAGAAGTAGGACCAGGATGAGGCAATAAAGCTATCTATCTACTACCTACCTACCTAGTAGACAATCGTCATCGCATCTGCATGTTCCGGTATTTAGGTCAACAGGCATGTTCACAGATACCTGGTCCGGTTGGGATCGACCCCCACCCACCGCCGATTTGGATGAAAAACACACACAAACACCTTAGTAAGTGGCAGTGAGTTGCACCCACCCCCCCCCCCACTACTCATGTATGTACCCATCTAAGTACATACATACTTACATGAACAGGTAGGGTCTAGAGTATTAACATGCAGACTGTAAGTACGGAGTCCGTTGAGAAATCATCAGTGCATGTGCAGTAAGTGACTAACTACTGGTTATCTAGTTGAAATTGGTTTTTCCGTATGTGCAACGATGGCAGAATCCCGAGACCTGGTTCTAGGGGAAAACAGATGAGGGGGAAAGGCAAGAAGCAAAGAGGTATTATTACTAGTAAAATATTCCTCAATCGGGGTGATGAGAGAGGGAAAAAAATCCTCGTGTCAGATGACAGGGCTGTATCCTTCTTCCTTGCCTTATTTAGGGCGCTTTGTTACACGCTGGCTGATACCGCCGTTGATGTGGGTTAATAGCTATCAGAGTAACTGGTCCGGTCGCTGCAGGGTACAGGTAGGAGTCATCATTACGCATGGGTGTGTGTTGAATTGCTATGGTCGATCTATTATTCTAGGCCCTGTGGATGTGAGACTTGTCTGTTATTTGTTGGTAGTATGATACTACTGTTGCCGTGTTGTTCTGCTATAGATAGATGTTGTCCGTGGCTGATGAATGCGGCCAGTTGGCGGGCTGGGCCCATGAGGTTCAGTAGCTAGATCAGGGGTTTCTGGGGATAGCAGTCCTTCCCCGCAGTAATTTCAGAGCCCACATTGGGAACATCAAGTAGACTTGTCACATTGCTAAATGGGCGTGCTTCCATAACCGTCATCATCTGCTGGTGGGTATGATCGGATAGAACGCTCATAACAGAGAGTTTAGGCGGCGGCCAAGTAAGTGTTAGCTAATGGCTGGCACCTTTCATTGCGATAAACTGAAACAAAGACAAATTCGAGTTCGTGTCGTACGAAAGAGAGATTGGTTCAAGTTTAGGCAGATCAGGCACCGATTCCGGCTGTCGCATGACCTTGCGATATAAGGTATCCCCAAAAGGAGTCGGTAGAGTTAGGTTGACAGCCGCCATGTCCCATCCATGTGACTTACACCTCGGATATGTTTCTCAGCTAATCGGCAGTTGCTGTGGGTTTTGTTTCATGTCAAAGATGGTTGCGAAGGCTATTGGCTTAGATCTAAGTGTTCTTCAACTAGAGCGAGAGATATTAGTCCGTGTTGACTATCTCTATTGGTCCGGTCTATAAGGTGTCGAGTGTGAGCGGGCTAATCGGATCGCATAGCCAGGGGTCAGAGGTGTATAACTGGCAATGCGAACGTACCAATCAAAAAGGCCCCAGTTGGTCTGGATCGGAGTTTGATGGTATGAATCTATATCCTCGTGAATGTTTAGATGTATGTCTTCACATGGCTGGTACCTGACTTCATGTAGTACTTTTGCCAGGTACCAAGGGATAGAGTGCATGGAAAAAGACAAAAAAAACAGAGCCGACGCAAATTGTGTGAAATACTGTAAATACTCCAGTTACGAGTTACAATATACAGCAAGGCTACAGATAGACCAAAGAAAGAAAGGCACATACCAGAGGTGAGCATCATCAGATGCTAGGATCACCTCCTGCAGTCGTGTGATGCTAAAATCGCCCAAGTCCGAAGTAGCGGTATAGAAATTATGGGCGCCCAAGATGTCGCTGCCAACATCGAAGCAGCGACAGGTGATTGCTTGATAGTGTTGTAAGGCATCTCCTTGCAAACACGCCACGGCTCCTCGTTTGACGCCTTGAATGTCGGTTGCTGTCATGAGAAAAGGGGAAGGATTCTGCTCAGGTCCCACGAGACAGAATCATGGTGGACTTTGGCGCGAACGGAGACCGGCCACGTCGATGCTCGCAGCCATGTGATGGCGGGTGGTAACCGCTGCGCATTGTCTCCTGGCGCTGCGTGGACTTTCTTTTTTCGGGACGTCGCCGCTTTAACCGAGGCCGGTGAATCAATGCTCTACACAGTCGTGCATCCTTGACTTCGCTCCAGGGCTGTGCGCTTTTATCGGACATATCCTTGTCCGGGATCAGCAATCTAGAGAGGTTACTGCGTACATACGTAGCGGCTTTCTAGCCATCTGCTGGGGAATCAGCAAGTTCGCAGCTACACACAAGCTACCAAGAGAGTGTTCTGTTCATAGCCCAACGACGTCCTAGGCTAGCCTTATTGCAGCTTATTCCAGACATGTTTTCCATACATAAATACGGAGGACCACAGAAATGCTCTTCTCTGCACCGGATCACATGATAAACGGCGGTGACAGATCGTAGATCGAGGTACCTTCCGAGTACGATCTTAGTCTTCCTATCTAGCTCTCAATATGCAAGATGCCACCCTGGCCGCGATCGAATGGAATTTCCATATCGAGCTCATGGAAGCCTGCAGTACATGCAACATGAACGCATTATCTGCGAATGGCCCATGTCTGAGCAATGGATCGGAAGGAAAGGTGAGTCAACAGGGGCCATGGATCATCCTCTGGAAGCGATATTGTACTGATGATAGCAATACTAAATATGATCCAGTGATGCTATGACAAGAAGCAATCAAAACAATACTCTCCGGAAAGGATCAAATGCCTCTGCATCTCTCTCTGGCCAGTCATAGGCGCAAGGGTTCTCCCTGCTCTATCATACAGCCGCTTCAATCTGGTCGGATGAGGCGGCTTGAGGCACCAGACGAGTGTAACCACATCAACATCCGATATGCTTCTAGCAAAAGATAATTGGAAGTTTCGGCGCTTCCGTTCCCGCACACCGAATAGTGGAAAGTCATGGGGTATCTGACCGAGATCCACATTCAGTTGATTGGGACTCTACCGAATGACGAATACTACAAGCTGGCTTTGATCGTTGGGGATCGAGAATCCCTTGCGGATACGTTCACGTTTCTCATACTGACCATGCCGGCCTTCTAAGGCTTGGACGACTGGATCATACGAGATGCGTTACCTGCAGATGCAAGCCGCGGTTGCACATCGGTTCGTACGGTCTATTGCTCAGCCAAGTCCTCATGACTATGCTATGCCATGACCTCGGGAATTGTGCTTTCATCTTGAGTAGAAGAGCGATAACAAAGCAAATGCAGTTCTAACAACGACAGTATTGTCACGAGGACTGTGTCAGGATGTGCAACCGACTTGCAGTGACAGTTCCTAGGCCTGCGGCAACTTAATCGGTGGATATGCTCCTTCCTGGTCCCATGCCGCCGTCGAACTAGGCAGAATGAGATGTAGATGGCTTCTCCGTTGTCCAATGTCGAAAAGAATGACACCATGGTTTCGCGATGACTATACGCCTCCTGACGACGTGCCCGACTATCGCGGAAATATCTCCTCGATGAGGCCAAGCGCGAAAGCGAGAGGGGCTTTAAGCAGTAGTTATGATGGATGTGGTGGACAGAACCAGACAAATCCTTCAGCCCTTTGACGATGATGTCGTCTCAAGCAGCGTTATGAGTAGACGATGGACCCCTGTCGGGCGGCTATTCCTAAGCTCGTATGAGCAGAGCTTTCTACCGTTGTGCAGGGATCTCGAGGATTTACCACGGTAGGCGACCCGGAATTATTGGAGGGATCGGCTTCTGAACAAGGACCCCGGAAAGAAGCGCAGAAGTTGGCTTGTTCGGTAAAACATCAGCTGCATCGTGACGGCTGAATAGACGCGATCGACCGAGTCTAGAAGTCGGTTTTGCTTCTTCTTGCGACGCATAGCTACGTTGCTATTTACGGGAGAGTTTCACTGCTGGTCATCTGAGCAAATGCATATTGCATCGGGCTTACCACGCCTGTGCGCTATCCATCATATCCTCCGCGATGGGCTCTGAGTGGATGTTGATGTGCAATGCCGTCTGTCCTTTTCTGAGTCGTCAACTAATGACAAAAAGTAGTCGCCGGGCCAATGGATGGTCGTGCTCCCCTCTCAGTCTTGACGAGGCAGCCGAATAACAATTGCATTATCGCCCGCTGATCAGACGACCGTCACCAGATCACTCTCACCCTCCTTCGTGGAAATGATTTCCACTCATTCTGATTGCCGCTATCAGATCGCATGGATAGCTCCAATTCATATGTTGGTATAATATGGTCTGATAAGGCTCATTCGACCAATGTTTTTGTCATCTCCTGGCCTTCTGCCGATCGTACTTTTATCACACAATCACCGACTAACCCCATGCTGAGCTGTCAGCCCATTGTTCGTCTCCTTTTCCCGTCTCCACATCCCGCTGATCCATTTCTCCGTGTCTGAGCACACACAGCGCACATGGCCCTCTTCGCCCGAAATCGACCCTATCAATTCCACAGGTCATTTGGATAGCAACCATGGAGCGCCATCACAGCCTTCGCCGAATCGGAACTCTGTACACCGTGATGGTTCGAGCCAGTAAGATAGTATATCATACGTGAGATGTTTCATAACAGAACAAAAACAAAACTTCATTACTTCCAGGATCGGGCACATGGTCTGTCAATCCAGTGATGTGAAAGACGCATTCGAGAAGGCCCCGAAAGGTTGCTCCGTACGTGGCATACTAACCCATTGTAGATAAATGCTATCAGCTGCTCAAGTACAATCTCAGATCATGATCACGCTAGAAACAATACAATGTCAAAAGAAAGAACGCCTCCATCGGCGAAACTAATGCTGCGCCAAAAAAAAACCCCACTAGCACGCCGCATGCTGTACTCAGATCCGAGGCTGAATTGAGCTAGGCTCTTGCTCTCCGACAACCGTCCCATTCCCTAGTTTCAGGCCGACAGGTAGCCCTCTGATGAACTTATTGGTGTGCGGCAGCCCCCTTCGCGTGGCAACAACTTCCTCGATATCTCTGTGCATATCATATCTGGTTTGACTATCAGACCCTGGACCTGGAAAAAGGTGCAAGGAAAGAAACAAATGGGCTGCAAAACTTACGCATTCATCTCCTCAATGGTCAGTTTCTTCTTCTCATCCTCAACCTTATAGGTGGCGGTGTCGGTATTGCTAGAGAAACCTGGACAAAACGTCAGCGCCAGTATCTTCACTACTGCAGCATCATGGACCTCGCTTACCAATGCGCTCGTTGATGTTATATGCTGCTTTTGCCGAAGCGGACTGAACCTTGGTGGCCCGGGGCAGTCGGACTTCCTGGTAGATTGACAGCGCATCGGCGACATCGCCCTTGAAGTGCGCTCTGCTGAAGATAATGCCCAGGGCTGCAGCGTCTTCAATCGCCATGCAGGCACCCTGACTCTGATGGGGCATCATCTGCAGTGGAATGCGTTAGTCTTTACTGTTTAGAGTTCAAATTTGTAGGTCAGAACATACCGGGTGCCCTGCATCACCGAGAAGACAGACCATGCTGCTGGTGATATATGGGTATGGTTGGCTGCCCACCGTTAGCGCAAACAAATTTCAAGCGACCGTGAGAGTACGTTTGTTGAGTACTCACTGCACCCAGAGACGCCATGGTCTAATTTCCTTGCCAATCCCCAGATGCGAGAGGACCTGGCGATCGAGATGAGGATAAGGCGCGAGTAGTTCCTCGACGGGACGGTCTTCGCCTCCCCAGGTGTGGTTCGCATAGTCTCCCATCTCGCGAGGGAAGAAACAATAGTACGACAGCAAGCGACCACCGTTACAAGGCGAGAGCACGATCTTATCCCACTTGCCTTCCTGGCCACCCCAGTACTCAAGCGCGCTGTCCTTTGAGTAATCAACCAGACCCAGCCGAACAGCCTCCTCCGTAGTCACGTTAGCGTGCAGACAGCTGGAGGCTGCAGGCTTTCTTTCAGGATGAACCCCAATAATACCACGGACAACTGAGCCGATGCCATCAGCACCAACGATCAAGTCATGCCGGGCAGTCTCCCCGTTGGCAAAGGAGATCACTCCGGTACTTAGGTCGATGTCTTTGCACTGAAGATTTCTCAATGTTAGCATACCAACGATATAATCGGACCCTATAACCGAGAGAAAAGGTAGCATATGTCGCGACGAACCTGAAAATTGACCTTCAGCTTCGCAGGCGTTCCCTGGCCTTCCTCCTGCATAGCACAGTCCTTCAACATAGTATGCATATACTGCCGATGAAACATATTATAGACGTATCCCCAACGCTTCTCATAGTCCCCCAAATCATACACACTAACGGGCTCTCCAGTCTTCCAGTCCCGGTTAATCAACTTGCGCAGAATAACCGGATCGCCCTTAGCAACATCGACCCCCCATTCGTGTAACCAGCGAGTGCCATTTGCCGCGCACGAAATCGACGCTCCAACCTCGCCCGCGAAATCATGGCGCTCATAGATAGTCACATCGTGACCTGCTCGACGAAGAGAGATGGCAGCAGCCATACCACCAATACCACCACCAACGATACCGACGCTCAGGCGGTGCCACGATGATTCATCGGTTGAGCCCATATTGATAACAGTATACCGAAGCTGTTAGTATATATTGAAGGATGAGAAGTAAAGTCACGGCAACCGATATATATAATGGTAGTTATTGGTATAATAACAAAGAAGACGAAGTTGAAGAATGAATCAACCAACACGAGGTGATGAGGACAAACGCAGCTATTTAACCTCCTCGTGATCTCACAACCAATCTGCAATACACTTCCAACTCAAAGTTACCTTTCTTTCCTTATCTTGATTGAAGGGTTCCATCGGTTGGCACAGGCGGGCGGCTGGGTGGCGGGCCGCGCACTTCAGTATGGTGCATTATCCGCCTCGGGCGGATCTGGTCCCTCCTTTCCCCTCCGCTCCGGGTATCTCTCTTGGCCAGATAACTTCCTATCTGTGAATGGGCTGAGCAAAACGGAAAAGGCACATTTTATTTCTTAGGTACACTATGTGAGATGATTGATAAGGAAGTGATTATCGTATGCAAAGCTGCGATATCTTCCGACCTCGGGAGGCGGGGGGAGGTTTGGGGTATACTGGGTGAGGATAGGGAGTTTTGATACGGAGTTAGGAATGATACTAGTCCATGTGATATCTACTAGTATGAAGTGAGTGATTTTGGAGATATGATGACTTGCTTGATGCCTGTAGATGTCTGGGTGGAGATAGATGTCAATGCTTTCCATCGTTCTGATATAGTATAGAAGCTGAGCGCAAGACATCTGTCAGTCAGTAAATCTAACTTCATTGCTGATTACACAGTGAGAGTAACGCCCGTTGCAGTACAGTTGTAGTACAGTAACATAGCATTATTAATTGATAGCCTTAGGTGATCCTTGACTGGTGTTAACGACTATATCGTTACTATATGCTAAGCTTACATAGTAGTAATACTACTATAATGGAAGTGTAGCACCTGATATAGAAAGATTATTCCGTTATTCTCATTACCTGCTGATATAGTTTTTAAACCTGACTGAATATAACTTATCTAGAAGATACTGTCGATTTATAAGTCGTGATGTTCAGAATATTCTATGGTAAGTGTTAACAACAAATACTACTATATATTCATTCACTTCCATCTTACTTCTATTCCACGCTTCTTCTAGTAGTTGACCGACCTTTTTCTCTTTCTTTGTCCCTTCTCTTCTCAGGGCTTTGCTATCTCTTTCTCCTGCTTCTCATCTCGATGTGATTCATCTACCCCGAAACTGATTAAATGTCATTTCTGTCATTTCACTGATTCTATGTAACCGCTATGTTTGTCATCCATAGCATCACCGAGACTGATTGATTACCTGCAAGAACTATATGTAGTATCATCGATTCCGCATGACTGCAACGCCAGTGTTTGTGTCACTTTTAGCCATCGAAACAAAAAAACCTGTATACAGAAGAAATCTAGAATTCCTGATCCTCGTCGCCCGCAATGATGACATTGTTGATCTGTTTCGGTTTGAGTTAGCTGCTTTGCCAGGGTGAAATAAAGCAAAACTGGTTGGATGACTCACCTTAAGAACCATACGGCAGAGCTGAGTAGCAAGCAACAGCTGCTGCCGCTTTCCGATCAGGGGGTCGATGGCGAAGTGCTCTCTCATGTCTATCGATGGCTGATTAGTAAAGATGCCTGCGGTTTCAAGGAAGGCCCTATACGCACCGTTGTTGCCGGTCATCATGCAGTCAACACCAAGACGGGTGTTCTTCTCCTTGACCTGGCGAGACTTGATCGAAGCCAAGGTCTCGATAGGACTGAGACCAGAGTTCTCAGCAAGTGCCATCGGGATGGCGTCCAAGGCGTCAGCGAAGGCGCGCATGGCGTATTGTTCAATTCCGGGACTCTGTTATATGACGTTAGCATACGACTAGATGCGGATTCTCAAAATATTAACGTACCTTGACAGCGGCATCCTCAACAGCGATGGAGCAGGCAATCTCAGCAGCACCACCACCATAAACGACACGGTTGTCACGGACCAGGTTACGCACGACGCAAAGAGCATCGTGAAGCGAACGCTTGGCCTCATCAATGATCTAGAGGAGAGTCAGCATCCTGCACATGTCCTCCGATATTTCAAACTGACCATCTTGTTGCTTCCACGAACGAACACCGTCACGGCACGGCTGTTGGCGCAATCTTCAATGACGAGCATCTTCTCCCGAGTGGTACCGAAGGTCATCTCACGAACACGACCTGCGGTTCCGAGTTTCTCCGAGCTCAGATCCTCGAAACGAGGAACAATACGACCATTCGTCGCGATGGCAATCAGTTCGATCTCAGGGCCGCCAACCCAGCGAACGGCGGGGAGCTTGTTCTGAAGCAGAAGGTGGTTGGCCTCATCGTCGAAACCCCACTGGCAGATGACTAGGTTGGCGCCAGAGTCCTTCAGTTTCTGAATCATCTCGGTGAACTTCTCCCGCTCATACTCTTGCAACTTCTTGAACTCCTCAACTGACGTAATGTCGAGCTTGTGCTTGGTCTTGGGCTTCGGGGGCTCAAATGGGCAGGTCAGGATGGCCAATTTGGCATCCCGAACCTCGTCGGGCATCTGAGGGTGGGAGAAATCTTTGTCGACAATGACACCCTTCACGAGGAGGGAGTCCTCGAGGGCACCTCCGACCTTGCCGTCAACCTTGATCAGCTCGAAATCAACATCCTTGCGCTCGAGGTCGGCCACGGAGAGAACTGCATCAATAGCGATATTCGCAAACTGGTCGTGAGACTTGGAAACACTGTTCCAGGGTCAGCATGCAGGGTCCAAGGGGCAAAAGGAGAAACCCTCGTACATCTTGCTACCCAGACTGGTCTTGGCAACCTTGAGCAGGTTCGAAGTATCCTCCTTAGTGAAGGGGATTTCATCACTGATCTTATCGAGTTCTGCAATGGCAATTTCGCAAGCTTGGTCGTATCCGTCTGCGATCCGGATAGGGTGGATGCCCTTATCGATGAGTTCGGCCGCCTGTTCCAGCATAGCAGCAGCCAACACAACGACACCTGTGGTTCCATCACCAATTTCCTCATCTTGAGACTTTGACAACTCAACAAGAAGCTTGGCGACGTTGTTCGTGATTTCCATCTTTCCAGTATCAACAAGTCAGAAACATCTCTAGTGTAGCGGCTGATGGTGTAGGACAAACCTGGCCGAGAATAGTGGCACCATCGTTTGTAACGGTAATATCTCCGTCGGGGGAGATCAGGATCTTGTCGAGACCACGGGGACCCTATAACTCCATTAAGATACTGCTTATTCTGCAAGTCCGGTGACGGTCCGTACCAGGGAGGTCTTGACGATGCTGGCGACCGTCTTAGCGGCAACAATGTGTGACTTCACCGCATCCGTGCCGTGCTGTCTCTTCTTCTTTCCTTGACTGTGTTGTAGAACCGGATTAGCCACTTGCCCTGAGTAAAACCGTCCAATTTGTGTTGAAAAGGTTCGAAAATCGAAACGTACTCCCTAACGACGATGAATGGCCGGCCCTGTTCATCCTTCATTACAGAAGCTGATGTAATGGTCAGCGAAAGATATCGAAAACGAAGCAAGTCCGGAGCAGCAAAAGGTCCCACCTTGAGAAAGATCAAGCTCTGCAAAAGAGGCCAAAGAATGTTAGTATAGTTGATGCCGAGTGAGGGGTATTGCAACATACGCATCGCCATTTTGACGGTCTGCCACTTGGCAGAAAACCCACTTCAGAGAGTCGGAAAATAAAAGGCGGCAAGGGGGTCAAAGATAGGAGCCAACGGATCAAGTAGACTCCCAAGACAGTTGATCGGAGCGATGGGGGGAAGGCAGAGGACCGGACGGCGGAGGGACTTGGAGGCACACTTGCAATTCGAAATTCTGGAGATGTCCAAAGCGGGCTAGTGAGCTGCTTTCTATATCAGGTATAGCGTGGTTTTCCCACCGCGCGCCCGCGCGACTCGGCATTTCTATCTACACCCGAAGCAACTTAACCCTCAGCTGCTTTATTGTCGCCCCGTCGCTGATGTCTATTTCTTTGTCATTCAATCTGTAATTACACTAAACCGTTGGACGATCTCTCGCGAAATCCGCCAAGCTGTTTTCCCGACTTCTCAGCCTTGCTTCTTTCGGAACAATGCCCCGTAAGTAGCCGCAAACTAAAACAGTTATGCTTTTCATTGAGACAAGGTCATATTAACTTCATTTCAGCGCCGGTTCCTGACATTTCCGATGACGAGTCGTCGAGTGGCGAGTCGATTCCCTATGACGATGCTCGATCAAAAAAGAAGGCGTCTAAGGATGACGATGAAGACGAGGACGAGGATGAGGAAGAAGAGGATGTGTAAGCTTGCGCGCGTGCGACCTAGTCGCGAGCAAGAATTGACGTGAACAGATACATTGTTGAGAAGATTGTGAATCATGAATGGGCCAAAAATGTGCGCGACATTATATCTGCCCGTTCAATTGACCAACAGGGCATGCTTTAGCTAATGATGTGGCAGGGCGACCTCCTTCTTCAAGTCAAGTGGCAGGGCTACGATGACCCCGCTGACTTGACACTGGAGCCAGAAGAGAATCTACTGTATGCTGCTGGATGTCGTTTCTTTCAGCTTCAACAAAACTGATGGGTCGTTTACAGAGAAGGCGCGAAGGAAATAGTCGAGGAATACTTTCGAATTTTGGGAGGTCGTCCTGAAAAGCCACAACCGCAAACGAAAAAGCGCAAGTCGATAGGGAGACCTCCAAAGTCCGCGCCCGAGAAAACCCCCGAGCCCAAGAGACGCCGCAAGTCGCGGGCTGAAACAGCAACAGAGTCACCCGAAAAAGAAAAAGAGAAGGCCGATGAAGGTGAAAGCGACGACACATCTACGTGGGTTCCTTCGTCTCGCAACTGGGAGAAGGAGGTCGATACGGTGGGAACAATCATACGACAACCTGGAACGTCGAATCTGCTTGCGTTTATTAGCTGGAAGAATGGTAAAAAGTCAAAGGTCAACATAGAGATGTGCTACGACAAGTGCCCGAAGAAGGTGAGTTATCTGGGATCCGCGGTTCTTCACCGGCGCTGACTTGTAGCAAGATGCTCCAATTCTATGAATCACATCTGTAAATCATCCTTATCCATCGCCTCATAAGACGAGCATATGCTAACCACTCTCATTAGGGTCTTTAAGGAGGGCTAAACCTCTATTCGTTAAAGTTCGGGTTCTTTATTAATCATCGTCTAATTTACGACAGGCGCAATTGCAGATTAGTGTTGAAGGAGCAAGCATATAGGGCGTTTTTGAAGTTTCACATACTGGTTCCAGATAACCTAAGTGTAAGACAATGGCCTGGGCTAGTCTCGACATGGACTTTTCTTAGAGTCCTCCTGTTTGAAGGGAACCAACACCGGAATATAACGGGAATGCGCCAGCTGCTCCAGGTCTTCGCGAACTCATTCGCACCATTTCTCTTTGGATATCAATTGTTTCCCGGATTTTTATCTTTGTGTCTCTATTTAGCGTCTTAAGATCCATGTACATTATCATTAGTTCGCGGTTCTGGAACATTGAAATTGCGGCAGTCCTATTCAAAGGGTATCTAAAAGACCGGCCTCTCTGACCATGCTGAGGTACTCCCAGCGATTGTTGAAGGCCTCCGTACCATGCTTCTCCATGACTCGTTGGATGCCTCGAGTCTCGTTTCCTTCTATGCATTTGTCATCTTCAGGTGTCCAAACACCAGGCATATCATCCGGTATAGGTTTTCCTTCTACTAGGATAGCCAGGACCCTGTCAGCTAAATCTGGATCCATGCTGGTGCACCGCAGTGCCAGGTGTATTTGTTCTTCATGCTGAGCCTTTCCGTTAAGAAGTCGCTCGTCGATCCATGCGTCGATATCCTGCTCCATATCTTCCTCTTCAGGCTCATCGTCAGAAGGCAAAAATGGCAGCTCTAGAAACAGGGGGTCTGGCTGCGAAGGCTGGCGTGGCTCCTTGGCTGGAGCTTTCGATCCTTCAGTGGCCCCGCGTTCTCTCGCCTCTTTTGCCCCAGGAGTTGGTCGCTGACCGTTGGATGCTGTCGCTGAATGTGGTACTGCAGCCAGTTTCGTTTGAGGTCCGGAGATGAAAGGGTCTGGAAGGTCGATATTGACTTCGGTGACTCTTTTCTTCAAACTTGGCTTATTAGTACTGTCTACATTGCCTTCCCCAGGAGTATCCTCCGAAGCCCGTTTCCTTTTCTTGTCATTTGCTTGCATGGCAGTAGGCTCAACCCCTTGTGCAGACCCTCCTCGAGGCTCAGACTGGACCAGGCGAGTAGCTAAATTGGAGGGCCCATCAGGCGCAGGTTGATCAGTTGATTCTGGCATACCACCAGGACGTGGATGTCCCTTGAGCCTTTTAAGGTACCGATCTCGATATGATTGATACGTGTGCCTTGGATGCTAGTGGGATGACGCTTAGTATGCCTGCATTTCACAGCTCAGAGGGGGTTCTCGATACCTTCTCGGCTAGCTCTTGATAGATTTTGTTGCCTCTAATGGAAGCCTTAGGGTTTCTCTCGTGGGGTTGCATCCAGTCCCAGAGCAACTGGTCATCTTCGAGAGTATAGGGGATCTTATGACCTCTGGTGGGAATGTTGGTAGCCCCTACGGGCCGTGCTTCAGAAGGCCCGGCTCTATAATTCTCTAGATTCTGCAGCTTCCCCAGGCGGTGTGAGTCTTCGACATATTTGAAAGAGTACCTATATCCTGTAAGTGTCCACTGGATGGTAGAAGGCTAAAACAGTGTGCGCTGTTTTCCAGCGATGCGATTACACAAGTGAGTCAAGGATGGAAATGGCAGGAAACCTCACGTGTCAGAGGGTAAGTTCTTTCTCTTATGATCAACCAATCTGATATCTGCATCCTTCTCCAGCAGCCGTATAGTACCGCCGTTTTTCCATAGATAAATTAGTCACGCGTTCTTAAAAGCCATGTATAGTTGTAGTACCTCGATTAATTCCTTGAACCACTTCCGTTGGGGGATGTTGTGAGACAACCAGAACTGCTTCCCTTGGAAAAGGGGCGTTACTGCCTCTTTCAATACTCCACTATCTCCTGTAGTGCTCGTTCCAGTCATTATAATCGTCAGGTCAACAGCGCGAACGTTTCAAGTTGTAGACCCGCAGGTATACAGAAACACGTTATCACGTGTTCACGTGTTCCACGCGTGAGGAAGTCCAATCAAATATAAAGGGTGCAGGTGAGGGGCTTGATTATTCAATATGAAGACTAGCGAATTTATGCGAAACTAATGCAGAAATAAGGTTAGAATCAACTTAAGGACGGAGTACTTCAGATAAGTTTGATCCAAACCGTGATGTCCAGCAGTAACGCTCATTTCTTCCCCTTTAGGCAATTACGTCACGTGTCTGTTACTCGAAAATAAATACCCGGTGGACACTTGGGCGGCAGCATCAGCAACATGGCGATAGTGGTTGCAAGCAGGCGCGCCAAAGCCTGTCAACTGATAATGCTAGCTCTGGTCTAAGCGACAGGGTGGCATTATCCTTTCTTCAAAGCACTCACCTGCATTACGTTTCAACTATAAATTTGCCCCATACTAACAAGGTGAGGGCAGGCGACGGACTGATCGGAAGAAACTTCTCCAGAGATACGATCAAAATTCCATTCACGATGGGCGCTATAAGAACCATTGCACTTGTGATCCTCGGGATCTCTGGATTTGTTTTCGTGGCGCTATTTGGGAGACTCCCTGCGTTTCGGTAGGCTGCAGCATTTCGTTGTAAGGGCCGTGACTGATAGATGATTCCTGTAGCAAAACTCCCATTGGTTGGCTGTATAGAGCTCTTTGGATACACATACCTAACGGCCTTGTTTACCTTGACAGCTGGCTACTAAATGGCTGGCTGTCTCACTGCTGGACTTGTTCTGGCAGTTACATTCTGCACGAAAATCACCCGTTGATTCTTGTTAGTCTATGTGCCTAATATTCAACGGTCTCCTCTAATTATAGATGTTAGATATTCTTCTCTTCCCTTATGATTGCAGGGCAGTGTATGTTCATCCCAACTGCTTGGCCTAGGATTTCCACAGTCCACCATATCTGGATCCCGATCCTTGCCACAATGCCCTACGTTTTGCTGTATGCAAGCGTTACCACCAAGTCATTCATCACCACAAAAAATCATGCAGTGGAAATGGAACGCTATCCATACGATAAGGTCATCTTCCACCCGGGGCAGCGTTGTCGCACATGTCATATTGTCAAGCCGGCACGAAGTAAACATTGCAGCATCTGCAAAGCATGTGTCGCACGGCATGACCATCACTGCGTTTGGCTCATGAACTGTGTCGGACTTCACAACTACCACTACTTTCTTTCCATGATCTTGTCACTATGTCTCATGCTGATCTACGGCTCATACCTGGGATACACTCTCTTGTATCAAACATACAACAGGCTGATACCATCGGACTCACCCTTGCGGACGACCCGGCAAACCTGGACTGGCTTTTGCAATATATGGGCTGTAGTTATTGCTGCTGATATTCGCATTGGTGCTATTACCTTGCTGATGACCATGACAGCACCACTGGCGGCCGCCTTTCTCGTGTACCACACCTACTTGATTTGGGCTGGTATGACGACCAACGAAAGCTCAAAGTGGTCAGACTGGAAAGAAGAGGTTGCAGATGGTATGGCTTACAAATCTAGCAAGGCTGAAATCTATAGCAGCTCACCCTTGTTGGCCGAGTATCAGAGTGCTCAGTCATTCTGGCCAGTGAGTAGTGATCAGGTACTCATTCTGACAGATGGTGAGCCGCCCAAGGAAGGGTGCTTGCTATCGCAACACTCCAATGAGATCACTCAGCCGAGCAACAAGGACGCTCCGATAGACCGGAGGTGGATTCAGGTGCAAAGTATGAAGGAGATTGACAACATCTATGACCTGGGATTTTGGGACAATCTGCGTCATGTCTTGGGCTTACCCATTCGACCAAAGGTGATCTAAGTAGATAGTTTGCTAGCTTCACTTGAATGCATATAAATCATGACTCTTGCAGAAAGCATGCTTCACATTCACTGGCCCTCTTGCATGTATGTACCTTGATGGATTACCCGAAATGGCAGTTGCCGGGACGGAGCCGGAAAAATTCCCCTCGACGGTTCAATGAATCTTTCTCCACCGAGCGTCCCTCATTGTCGTTGATCCCACACCCCTCCCGACTACTATTTGCGCGGTCAACACTGGACAGCTGCTTGTGCTACAAATCTTCACAAGCATCGTCAAAAATGGCCGACCGCACGGCAGCGGAAATCAAGCCGAAATGCACCCCCGCGGAGCTCATGTTGAAGGTCATTTTGACGGGGACCTTGAGCCACTACGAAACCCGCGGGATGATTGACGACAAACGCTTAGAACACATGCTCTCTGCTGGGAAGCAGATTCTATACAAAACACACCAGGAGAGCGACGTCAGGTACGTCGATGATTTCTGTCTTGGGCCAGAGTCACTGTCCAGTGGCCCACCACCATCTGTCCGCCACCCACTTCCACTCTTGCATACTGACCATTCTCTCGTGTAACAGACATAATCTCGGCCTATCACCGGATATCTGGCAAGGCTTCACGGACGTACTGACGAAGGCGATCCCGGTCCTCGAATCCCAATCGTTTGCCTGGAAGAGCCCACCGACGGCGAATTACGATCATTCCTCCTCCAACCTAATAGCCTACAATTATTTTTCGCTAGTGAAGGACATTGAGCGTCTAAATGATCTCTGTACGATCGCCCGTAACCTCCTTGCCACCACGAAGAAGGCGCAGAACATGGCGGCGGAGAAAGGTTTCGATCAGAGGATCTTAGCCTTGGTAGATACTTGCGTTAGAGTAACCGCGCGAGGGTTTGACGGGGAGACGAATGCGAGGAACGAAGAGCGCTGGCAAAAGGTTGTCAACCTTTACAAGCGTCTCCTTATCACCTGCTTGCAGTTCTTGCATAACTTCATCATGCACAACGAACAACGCAAGATGGTGCTATGGTTAGATTTGTTTGGGTACCACTCAACCGGCGACTCGAACATTATCCAGCCCAGAGAGCCCCTTGACCCCACTTGCAGTCAGCAGGAAGGCATGGCGCCCATCGTAAAGACGGGAGAGAGGATAGTAAATCCCCCGATAAGGGCTCTTTACGACCAAACAGCAGAGGATCTGCTCCTGGAAACCATCTCTAACTTTCCGAGAGAGCCCGCCACCATCAAGGAAGAGGCAGCCATGTTGCTTCTTGCTAACATCAAGGACCATATGGAGAAGCTGCTTGGACGCGATTTGACTGCCATTCAGGAAATGGGGAAGGATCCAGAACAGGTGAAGGAGATTCGCGCCGCTCTTACCGCCATACTCGGAGCCAAGGTTGATGGATGGTCTGATCTTCAGGACAGGGCTAAGGACCTACCTCCTGCTCTGCCAGAAGATGAACCGCCTCGCAAGAAGGCGATTGTCACGATTGACCGCAGCGCAACGGCTGGATTCCCACGTGTCTGCTGGACCGATCTTCCTGATCTCGGAGATTACGGCGCGCTCTCGGGTGGCGACGCAACTGTCATGGAGGAAGATATGAGCATGCCACGCTCGGCACAGTCGGCGGCAGAAACACTGCAGGAGGCTAAAGACGAGCTGATGGCTCGGTTGCAGGAGAGCTCCCAGATTGGCGACGGTGACCAGGACTATGACACTGGTGATGCAGGCACGGTTGGTGACGATGACTCGCGCAGTTTGGAGGCCGTTGCAGACGGAAGTATGGAAGAAGAAGAGGAAGAGGATGACGAGGATGATGACGACTATCGCGGCCGTCCAGGCGACCAGCAGCGGGGTCTCCTGACTGATATCCCACTTGTGCTGGGCCCTGCAGAGATCGAGGCGCTGCCAATGATAATCCAGGCTGGTATTGTGGATAGTTTTGGGCTAAAGGGCGGAGAGAGAAGTGGCTCGAGGAACATGCAGGCTCTCAGATGTCACATTCTGCTCACCCAGGAGACGGGTCGGAATCTGCTTCGCGAGCTACTGATCTTCATCGCTGCCTGGGATCTCCCTGATGACGAACTCTACTTCAAGATGATGGTTCAGATCATGGACGCGGTTTTGAGAAATGGTCTGATGTCTCATGCATACTCCGATTTCGGCCAACCTAAGGATATCATTTCGCCTGCGCAGGCAGTGGTTGTCAAGATCCTCACGCACATCTTCCGAGCCAAATACTCTCCTGCATCTGTTACAGGATCAACGCAGTCCAACGGAACAGCAACTAAGAACCCGGCGCCGCTTTCAAGAGTCGACATCCTTACTGTCCGGTACATCTTCACAATCTTCCGCGGCAACATCATCCCCGAAACTTGCGCTTTGATCTATCTGCAGGGTCAAATACGAGCTGGACGGGCTTTGCCTGAGGACTTCCCGCTGAATCTCTGGGACATGGAGCGGGTGTACGAGGGTGTCTACCAGTTCCTCGAGTTTTTTGCTGTGCTCACGGAGAACAACGACTGGAAGAATCTGCTGGTCAAGTGGGAAATTGTCTACGACCTGGTCACGTTGATCAAGGAGCTCGAAGCCAGCATTCCCAAGGGTCAGCTGAGCGCGCTCAACCTGGGACATAACAACCCTTCCAAGGAGCCTCAGCATACGGCTCCAGCACCGGTTGCAGTTGAACGCCCGTACGATCCCGGCGACCCGGACCCAATTGATGCCCCCGGCTCTCGGGCCGAATCCCCGCCAATCACCGAAGATCCGTCCGAGTTCGAATGGCGTAACCTCAAGAAACTCGTTGTGCTTGTTTTGTCATCTCTTGTCTGGAAGTGCCCCGAGGTGCAGGACCAAATCCGTCGCTACGGCGGTGTCGAGACCATTCTGTCCTGCACCAACTTTGATGCGCACAATCCCTACATCAAGGAACACGCCGTCATGTGCCTGAAGTTCCTGCTGGAGGGCAACCGCGAGAACCAGAAGATGGTCGAGGAGCTAGAAGCACGGGAAGTGGTGAAGGATGACGCAGGAATGTTGGAACGCAGCGGACTGGAGGCAGTTATCGACAAGGCAGGCAAACTGGCCATCCGCACAAAGGATGGAGCAGATAAGCGGTAGCACCACCAGCATTCATTTCATAACGTGATCATGTACAAAGATATACACACACTACATACAGTAAATAGACATTACCATGCCATACCAAAAACTATATGCACGCATTCTCTTTCCTCGCCACACAACTCCAACTCCACCACCTAAAACACCCTCACACGCCCCATTATACACCCCAGACTGAACCTCCCAACCCAAGATTCATCAAATGACCGCAATAAATCAAGCATACATCCCGTCCCACTCCTCCTCTTCATCCTCCTCCGCCAACTTCCTCCTCGCCTCCGCCTTCTCCCTCTCCTGCTTCGCGAAATCCGTCCGATCAAGCGGACAAGTCCCCCGCAGCCTCAACCACGGCCTCACACACTCCAAATCAAACAAATGTGTCGGATGACACGGCAGCCGCACAACAAGTGGGTACTGATCCTCCAGGAACGGGTTATTGCAAATCGGACAGACCTGGGAGGAGTTCAACGCGGTACGGGGGATGCGGTCGAGTTCTACACCAAACAACAGTTAGCAAAAAGCCAGAACATTTACTTTGCGATGTATGTTTGGGGGCGGTGTTCAACGCACGATCACAAAACTCCTCACTCGCACCCTCCACCTCCCTAGGAGGCATTTCAGCCGTGCTTAGCAGACTCTGAATCATTGTTGTGAGGAGGTCGTTATCGCCATCACCTCCTGCTGTTCCTTGTGTTTCGCTGGGCAGAGCTGCCCCGCCTCCTCCTTCGCGGCGCATCAAGTCCAATGCCTCGGCCAGGGAGTAGAATGCTGCGCTGACGTCTCGAGGAACGGGGACGGCATGGGGACGATGACGCGCTTCGTCGGGGGTGATTTCGGAAAGGGCTGAGAAGAAGGTGGAGAGGTCGGGACGGCGGCGGCGGTGGTGCTGGTCGGGGGTTGTGCTGTTGTTGGGTGTTGTGGTGGAGGGGTCGGTGGTGTTGTGTTCCACTGTTTTATTATATTCATTTATTAGTTTTGTGATGGGAAGGTTTGGGGAAGGGGAAGGGTGGGATAACTACCTTCGTAGGTGGACATGGTGGGCGGTGGTAGCTTGGTGTTGGTGCTGGCGCGGGGTGGGTGAGGGGTGAGAGGGTTGGGTAGTATGTCTGGATTGGATCCCGGGTGGGGATTTTGGTGATTTGTTGATGGTGCAACCCGGGGATAAGATTGGTGTTGCTCGTGAGAGAAGTGGTAAAGGGTTACCAGGTGTAGGATGGAGGAGGAGAGGTGTTCAAGTATCAAGGGCGATGCGGAGGCAGCAGCCCGATAACGCGTTTTTGCAGTTCGGCTGCGGAGAAATCCTCGGGGACGGGCTTATCACGCTATTTACTGATGGTGTGCTGGCGGGATTGAAATCATGCTACTTTTATGTTATCGTCTTACTATAAGATCAATGAGGATGAATTTTTCATATGTTCCAGTTTTATGTTAAGGATAAAATTGATATCATCCATGACCAAGACCAAGACATCCAAGTGAGTGAATTGTACAACACGCTCTATAATACATTGATGGATCTCCTATAATATACAGCACTCCACGCTAACCTGGACTATACAAGAGAAATATGGCCAAAAAAATTGCAGAATTATACACGGTGATTCAGCAGCTCCCACGTATCCGGTGCAGATCGGTCTAGATGCGGTATGTGGAATCAGACGCCTCACCAGCTTGGCGGGGTCCTCCAGCAACCTTCGAGCAAGTAGTCGACAAGTGTCAACTAATGCGAGGCAATGCAGGAGACAGCCCAATATGGGACCTGGCGAGAGACAGGGCAATATCGTGAATGCCATTCAGCCCAGCTTCATCCACCCTGATAAACCTGACATAAGCACCCGGCCCGTGTGCCAGTCCAGTCTTTATTTAAAAGGGAAGAGATTCCCCCCCCCCAGCTTTGACCCCAGAATCTCGGTGCGGGACGCCAACCGCCCAAGGTTCACCGTCAAAGACAGCAAACCCCCCCCCGTTCATGCATTGCACCACGGCCGCCCTCCCAAGTCCAAAGATAACGGTCCCAGCACCGTTCTGCGCGCAATCATGACAAAGCGCAAGGTGTATTTGGACATGGAGGACTTCCATAAAGGTATGTTCTTCGCGGTGCTACCTCAGGAGCTAACGAAAGTTTCTAACCCATAACGCTGTCCAGCGTTGAGACTGTTGGACGCCAAACTCGGTACGGATCCCATGATTATGGCCTTCGCTCCGATCCGGATGATCGTCGCTGGGGGCTTTTTCTCCGTCATGTACCTGAAGAATAGAAAGACAACTACGGACATGGACTTCCTGCTTGACCCGGAGTGGGCCAACGACGAGGATATCAAGGTTCCGTTGCAAAAGTCCATCCGGGAAGTCGCCAACGAGGCTCATTACATGGAGGATTGGGCCAACGAAGATGTGGGAGTATTCGTTACAGAGAAGACGCGGAAGATCCTGATGGAGGACGCCATCAAGCAAAACATTGTCCTCTGGGCCAGTGGCACTCTGCTCGTATTTGCAGCACCCGTAGAATGGGCGCTGGAGCGGAAGCTGCGCCGCATCTACTGCGCGGAGAGGGGGCGCAAAGCGGAGCTGGATCTGGCCGATGCCGTGGCAATGCTCAAGTTCATGAAAGAGAGGAAGGGGAGTAAGCTTGATATGGAGTACTGTCGCACGCTGAACAAGAATGGCTTTGACGTCATGCCAGACGTTGATACCATGAACTGTGTGGCTGCTGCTTACAAGGCAACCTATGGCGTTGATGTGTTTCTTTGAAGCCACTGGAGTCCCTTGCAGAACCCTGCAGGAGGAACTTGGGTAATGGCTCCAAGTGCGGATGATTCTGGACCAAGTAGGTTGAATGGCTGTCGCCGACAGTCGGGTTGCGCAATGGGCTCGCTATGAAGTCTCGACTGTATTTGGCAAGGAGTTACGTGCATACCGCCGGATGCTGAAGCGGATGATCCCCTTACTTTCGCGACAAAAACATGGTAGCGTAGGGCTTGCGGTTCATATCGTATAAAGCCAACCAACATTCGTAATGATGTTGCGGCGCGCAAAGATTTTATTCAGTCCGCCGTCCTCTAAGACGAGCTTTCCTTCCAATATGTAACGTCCGGGTAATCCGTCCAAGTCGCTGGCCGAGAGCGCAGGTACAGAGCCCGTCCATGCAGGACCTATCAGCGGTGTATACGGGGGCCACGGGTCGTCTTCCGTCTTTCGGATAATGTGCTTGCGGTTCCGACGCATGCCTAGACTTAGACGCCAATTAAATGCAACGACAAGCTCCTCAACGAGACATGCGATGATGGCGTAGCGAACGGGATCTTCGTCCCTGGGGTCGCTGATCGACTGTAATGACCACCCCTTCTGATACCAAAAGTATTCAGTTTCGGTGCCTAATACCTCGTAGACGCCAGATGCCATAGCTTCGTACATTCTATACAAACATCTCAAGGGGGTATCGCGAACGCGCCAAATCGGTATGCTTTCCAGATCGATCATATTATCGTGTCGAAGAAGAAGCAATTCTTCGTTTCCGATCATTTCCGCCGCCGGCATAACGTCGGACACGGGGAATTTCCACGAAGGAAACGGAATGAAAAGGCGTACCAGAGCCCAGAGCGGGTGTCTCTCAAATGCCCGTAGTCTTGTCAAGCTGCCGCGTAGATTCAACGGCGAGCGCCATGTGCGAAGCCGATGGATCCATTGTCGAATCCTTAACGAAAGGGGCTTCTTGCGGCGGGGCGGCGGCATCTTCGTCTGCCTATCACGAGGAGCCGAAAGGTGTGTTATAGATGGTTGGACTTGGTGGGATAGACCCAGAATAGTTGAGGTTAACGAAGACACTCCATGCTTGTGAGGGTAGTGTTCTGAAGACGAGGAGACGGAGAGTGAGTTATAGAAAGTAAGGACATGTTTACTGCATCGGTTGGCGCCGACCGGCGAACAGGCGGTCAAGCATGGCACTACCGGGGCACGGACCAACCGGTGCCAGATGAGATCATCACATGCACCCTCCACTTCACCTGCAGCTGCTAAAGATCCCGGCTTATTGTTTCATTGCTTCCCAATGCCAGATCCGCGGAAAGCGCCTAATCATTGCTTGATGATATAATTGGCAGACAGTGTGACTTCTACATACCATAACAGTACTAGTGGACGAATCAGCGCCGGACGCATGAGGGGGACTGCCACGAAAGTGTCACAGGACAGGGCCAGGTTTATTGTATTTTCTTACGCCATTCGGTGCGTGCTTGAACCTCATCAATTAGTACTATATATTTGGCTCGCAAGGACCGTATCGGGTATCATAATAGTATTGAGCAATGGAACTTTGGAAACGGTAGAAGGCCCTTAGTTTCAAGAGCAACATCTAGACCGTCTCTGCCACCCTGGATTCGAAAGAACAGCCCATGAATTTGAGGAAAGCCTGGAGCCTACCGTAATGCTATATCTGCAGTGGACTTGGCAATTATACCAGTAAATCCCACAAATTCCAGGATAGAGCTTACTTGAATAGCTAGCAGTTGAACAAGATCAGCGCCGGGACTGCCTCCATTGGCTCGCACTTGACTGCGACACGTCCTTTCACTGTGGAAGCAAAACGTGTTGTGGTGTTCTGATGTCGCCCAAATGATTGCCTAAAAGCATATGAAGGTATGGCAAAGATGATCTGGCATTGAAGGCATAGCGACAATCCTGGCAGAAGACTCAAGATCGATGTGAAGTTGTATCCACGACGCCGTGCGGTGGTAGTTATCCACAGGTGCGTATTGTGAGATAGTACGTAAATAGAAAGATATAACGGCCTATTCTAGAGCCCGAACCGTTGGGTTGATGATTGAAGAAGAAGTCTGAGATTAGGAGCTATTGCTAAAGGACCTATGCCCGAAGCACTGTTATTAGTATCATTTCCCCGACTAACTGAGAAGCACACCGAGCACACTATGGAAGAATAAAAAAAAGAAGCATCATGAATCAACCAGACTCCAGCATGTTGCCTACTCAGAAATGAACTGAATCAAGATTGCGCATGCTGTATTGGTAGATAGTATGGTGTAGTAAGTAGTACTGTGTAGTGAAGAATGTCCACTGGTTCCTACTAAGAGGGTGGGCCCATGGACCAATTAGGCAGATGTCAGGCACGTGTCGACTGTCCTCCACAACCACCAAAATAAACTCATACCAGGCTAACGATCATGAAAGGGGAGCATCAGTAGTATCAGCATCAGCATCACGTTAGATTAGCGGGTGGCCTGGGGGAGGCTGGAGCAAAAGTTAAACTTCATGCTGGCCCACAGGTGAGACGCCATCCGCGAGCCACGCACAGTTACCGGGGCAGATTCATCAGCGGCGGCGTCATCCTCCCCCAAACCGCTTCTTTCTTTAGCAACACCCGCAGTGGAGTCGCGATCGTCCACAGCGAGGCTTTGCTCTTTGCATGGCAACTCTCGTCCGTTGATCTGGCTTTTGACTTTTCTCCTGTTTGTTGTCATCTCCTCTCACTTCCCTTACTTCTGTCTCTTTTCCTCCTCCATCCATTCGGTCCATGAGGATATCTTAACATCTATCGCGCTGCAACCATTCCGCAGCGGATCGGCATTTCAATTCCTTATCGTCGGCTTGGATTCTCGATCTCGTTCCACGCCCGTTAATCCCCACACTCACACCCGCCGCGATTGGGAGAACTACCATCCCAGCGCATCGCCAACATGCGTTCCAGAGCATCAGTCAAGCCCTCCCAATACCCCCCGATTCCATTCCATACCATTCGCTTTTTCGGCCTGATTTCCACTTTCATTGTGGGCATTATCTTGGCCGTATTCGTCAACCAACTGCATAGCAACAACTACAAGCTCCCGTGGGCTTTCCTAATCGTAAGGCTACCATATTTACCTCCACCCCCCCAATCCATGTTATACACTCCACTAACACCCCATCCCAACTCATCAGCTCCTCATAGCCACCGTATTCTCCCTCCTAAACTTTATCCTCACCACCATAACCCACTGCTGCTATGGCCTCTCCCCGCGCCTCAACCTCGTCACCAACAGCATTGTCCTCGTCCTCTGGCTCATCGCCCTCGGTCTCCTAAGCTGGAGCATGTCTCACACCATCCTAACGACCTGCAACACAACCTACTGGGGCACCTCCACCGGTATCACCGTCTGCAGGATCTACAAGGCCCTCTTCACCTTCACCATTGTGGCCGCGACAGCCCACATCGCCGCCGCCGCTCTGGACATTATCGTTTACCGTCGCCAGACCCGCCTCGGTGAATACGATCCTATGGCCAGCAGTACAGCTCTCAACGACTACAAGATGCACAACCGAGACAGCAGCATCATGTCCGGCGGCGTTGGCCCTTACCCGCCCGATGAGGCCGATCACCCCTATTACGCCAATCAACCGCATCAAGAACCCCTGTACCAGCATGCCCCGGAGCCGTTGTACCATCCCAGCCAGCGTATGCCGCCCCCTCCTGCGTATGGGGCTGGCTCGTTGGAGCAGCACCATGCCGATGAAGCGGAGGAGTACTCCGATGCTGCGCCGGTGCAGGGACGTCGGAAGCCAAGGGTGAGGTTTAGTGCTTACGGAGGTACTGCGGGTTATAGTCAGCCGTCGGAGCAGACGAGTTATGACCCAGCTGCGTATCGGTGAATGGTTGTGTAGGGGTTGGGTGTACGCGTTCCACGAATGCAGAACGGTCACGCGACCCCATTTGCACGATCACCTGCGTGTTGTCTCTGCATGAGAGGCCAAGCCAACTTATCTTGGCTTTTCATGCCCTTCGAACTGAACTGATGTGTTACGATCTTGCATTGTAAAAAGGGTATAGTTCCTTGACTTTTGAATAGGTTCATATGCTGGCGGGCGTAATGCAGGAACTGTTTTACTCTTCTTTTATTTGTCTTCAGCGATAGTGCCATTTGATCTTGTTGTCACACGACCAGGATACTTTAGTATTAGATACCTGAATGCCTTATGGCAAGTACTTGGACAATATTCCAACTCGGAGAGAAATATTAGTATATTATTTGAGGAACGTCCACGGGCACATGGCTCATTCATTCATGGTCCGCTTCTAGGTTGGAGCTAGATCTAAGGAATACGGTTTCGGTAATCCGACCGCCAACAAGGGCGTAGCCAGAATGTTCAACTGGGACCATAGGTAGAGGAAAAATGAACTGATATCACAAAATACGCATGTCACATCCAAAAACGTCACATGTTCCTTTTACATGATAACCTCGTTGGCGACGTCCTGGAAGTTGTGTTAGCCTCACACTTCAAAACAACATGAGTGGGCGGGGTAACATACGCGCTTCAATTCCTTAAATGGCAGGCACACACAGTTTTGTACCCGTACCTCGTCACCCACGGCACATTCCTTGCCCAGGATGGTGATGCTTTGAACCTTGATGCCGTGCTTGACAATGCTGGTCGAGTGGCTGCCTGTGGGGATCGGGGTGCCCTCAACACGGGCCCAGGCACCGACGCGGCTGCTCCAGCCAATAATCGAGTGCATCACGCATGCATCGTGCTTGATCTCGGCGTCTTCCAGCACGATCGAGTCCTTAATACGAGCGCCTGCGCCCACGACCACACGGGGTCCAATGGAAACGTTGGGACCCAACTTCGCTGTGGGGTCCACCGTTGCGGAGGGGTGGATGTAGACTGGGGGCACGATGGCAGCAGAAGGAGGGGTGAGCTCGTCAGATCCGGCCTGGAAGGCCTTCTGGAGGTAAAGGGCGTTGGCGGGGACGGCGGAGCCGGCTGTCTTGATCTGGCGCCAGAAATCTTTTGTCTCGTGGACGAAGAAACGGTTGCTGTCAGCCAAATCGGAGAGGATATCCTGTTCCAGACGAAGGACTTCGCTCTTCTCTGCCTCGTCCTCCGCTGCGATGAAGGAGGACTCCAGGTTCTCGGACGAAGGGTATGACAGCAGGCGAGGGCGGGTGGTACGGCGCTTGATAGCACTGCGGATGGAGGGGAAGATGCACTCGGTGGCGAAGAGATAGACACCGCAGTTGATGAGGTTGGAGATGTGCGACTCGGGCTTCTCAACGTAGTGCAGCACCCGTCTGGTATGGGAATCGGAAACGATGCAACCGAAGTTGGTGGCGGCATCGTTGTTGACTCTTGTTCCGAGGATGACGGCCTCCGCATCCTTTTCTTCGAACAGCTTGAGCATCTCGCCAAGAGGGAAGGAGCAGCAGACGTCAGCGTTGAGGACGAAAATGCGCTCGGGCTTGCCCTTCAGGATGGCATCGCGGAAGTGGTAGAGACCGCCAGCGGTGCCCAGAGCCGTGTATTCACGCAAGTATTGCATCTTGAACTGAGGGAACTCCTTGGCGGAGTCCTTGATGAAGTCGCGGAAGACGGTTTCATCGTAGTAACCGACGAGGATGACCTCTCGAATATCGGGGATCTTGGCGAGGGCTTTCAGGCAGTGGTGGATAATAGGATGACCGGCGACTTCAAAGAGGGGCTGGGAAAAAATTGGAGGTGTCAGTAGCCGCGACAAAGCTTGCGGGTGACGAAATTGGGGATTGGTGCGGAGGGGCTCATGAATTGCGGGATAGCTAAAGCAGAGGGGCAACTAACCTTGGGCATGTCAAGGGACAGAGGCCTGAAGCGCGTTCCTCTAGACGGGCCTCCGACCTAGAGGAAAAAAAATTCCGTCAGCGAGATTGCTACAGGAGGCTGAAGTCACTAGCGTCACATACCAAGATCACGGCCTTGGTGGAGGCCACGTTGGTGTGCTCCCGCACTGGAACCTGAAGCATTGGAAAGGTGGGGGGTATAGAAGTGGGGGTGGGTGTTCAAGAATGATAAGTGAGGTCAAAACTCGAGCACAGACAAAGGGATAAATTAGAAGCTGTAAAGATTTGGGAAAAGCAACGAGGGAGAAAAGACGCAGAGACCAGGCCGAGGGGGAGCGAGCAGTAAGTTGTTGTCCAGGCCCACCGCCAGCTCTCCCTAGTCTTAGCGCTCTCCGGAACAGGCCAGGAGAAAGAGAGAGAGTGACACGGGACTGAAATGATGGATTCAGGTGCCATTGGTTGGCTGGCGGCACCTGACTGGCTGATCTCTCCTCCACCGCTTTCAGTTCGAGTTTCCACTTTTTCTCGGGACCATTTATCTATCCATCTATCTATCTACTCCCTCACCTCTACTACTATCACAATGATAGCTTACTGAGTTGAAGTGTAGACGATGAAAAGGGATAGATCAACTCATTTTCAGTCCACAAATACATCACATGCTTCTCAAACAGTAGCTGCTTCCTGATACTATCGGACTCCGCCAATCATGCCCGACAATAGAGCATTCTTCCCGATCTGGCTTCGTTTCATGCTGCAGCTGTCAGGGTTCCTGCAGATGTGAAGTTGACCTCTCTAACACAGTTCTCCTGTAGATCTCACTTGATCCTTACTGGGACTAGTACACTCCCGTCTCTTTTGTATTTGTCGTAGTGAATTGACCATGGCTCACAGTTGTCTATCTACTAGTCCCTGTTGGCCTCCTTTCTACCTGCCATTCACTGGATAGTACTTTAAACTTGCTTCATAACACCTTTCTCTCATGGCTAGATCTCTTGTCTTCTTTCCCAACTAAACCTGCTCGCTTGTAGCCTTCTTGCACTTCTTCGTACAGTCAAGCTTCTGCTACAAATTGCGCGTCTCCATTAATCTAGGCTCTCTCGAAAGTCTCCTTGTAACTCTCTGTTTCTTACCCCACATTCTCTTGATTTCGTCAGGTCTCTACAATCTAGAATACCAGAGACTTTGATGTCATTACTCACCTTAGAAATACGACGTACCCCATCCAGCAATTACACGGCTGAACGAGAAAGTATATCTCCCAGTGAGTCCTACTGACCGATTCACCCTTCAGCCATCACTTACACCTTTTTAGCGATTTCTCGGGCTAGCAAGATGACGCCTCCCGAAGCCGCTGAGATGGACTCTATAAACCTGATCGCCAGCGACATGAAGGAGCTGGTCCGAAAAATACAAGATCTACGCCACATCGGAATCGAGGACAAGATGATCGTGCTTCCAAAAATCTGCGTCATTGGTGACCAGAGTGCCGGTAAAAGCTCTTTGATCGAGGGAATGAGCGAGATCAAGGTGCCACGAAGCGCAGGGACCTGCACCAGATGTCCCATGGAGATCAATCTCTGTGATGGGGAGCTTGAACAGCCCTGGACTTGCAAGGTCTTCTTGTCGCGGAAGTACATGTTTGACGCCTCTAAGAAGATTGGCAAAATTTCGAAAAAGTCCCAGTCCCTCGGGCCTTGGGTGGAGCAAGAGCAACAGGAAGATGAGCTTTTCACGACACTGACAAACAAGCTCGACCTCGAAGAAGTCATTAGATGGGCGCAGCTCGCCATCCTAAATCCAGGCCGGCCATCAAGCGAATACTTGCCGGGGCAAAACAGCGAAACAGATCCTGGTTATTGTCAGGTAAAATTCTCGCCCAACGTCGTCCGATTAGATATTACGGCTCCAGGCTTTCCTAGCCTATCATTCTACGACTTACCTGGTGTCATCAGCCAAGCCGAACACGAAGAAGAGCGCTATCTTGTCTTTCTGGTCGAGAACCTTGTCAAGCATTACATTCTGCAGCAACACTGTATCGTCCTGTTGACATTGCCGATGACGAACGATGCAACTAATTCGAGTGCGGCACGAATTATGCAAGAGATCCGTGGGGCGAATGCTAGAACAATGGGCGTTCTGACGAAACCCGACCGCGTACAGACCGGGGAATCATTTGCCCAGTGGGTCGAAATACTTGAAGGGGACAAGTTTTCGCTTGGCCATGGGTACTTCGTCGTTCGTAACAATCCCGACCCGGCTGTAGAGCACTATGTGGCTCGGGAAGAAGAGGATGCTTTCTTCGCAAGCCCCCCCTGGGCAACAGATTTGGCTCTCTATCAAGAGAAGTTTGGGACACGCCGGTTACAAACGGCTCTCTCCTCCCTCCTTCTTGAACAGATTCAAGGATGTTTACCGGACTTCATTGAAAAGATAAACGCCAAAGCAGATCGAATCGAGACCGAACTTCGGACCCTTCCAGATCCCCCCTCCGCAAACGTTCCATATATTATTTGCGGCAAGCTGAATCAACTGAAGGATCAGATCCGCGCTCACATTGATGGCGGGTCAGCAAATTACCCTCTACAGAAGATTTGGTCGCATATTGCCATGGATTTCAAGCGAGCTCTGATCAAGACTCGGCCCACTGTACACTTGCTCTCTTCAAGTGATAAGTTCCCTGGTCCGACGGGCCGCGATGCGGAGGGAAGCGATTCAGACTGCGAGATGACAACGGTCCCACAGCCGGCCAAACGCAAGTCACCTGGTGAGCCTGGAAATATCTCAGTCGCACCAGAAGCGAGACAACAGCCAAATTCAGCAACAAGACTGACCGGAAATGGATTGTACTCGACAGAACATTTCGACAAGTTCAACGCCCCGGCCCTGACGTTTACATGGGAAATGATTCGCGAGATAAACGAGGATTCGTATCGAGCTGGACTGCCAGACCAGACGGATCCAAAAGCCATTGAGATCATGAACCAGATGAGCGTAAAACACTGGTACGACCCACTGTCAGTGTTCCTGGTTGCCACCCATCGACTTGTCCGGGACATGCTGCACAAGCAGCTGGATGAAGTCTTTCTGCAATACCATCAGACGGGCTTATATCGAGAACTCAAGAGGATCATTGAAGGCTTTTTGTATAAGCTACGGGCAGCCCACTTTGAACACGCACAGGAAAACTTTAATATCGAATACAATAAACCCTTCACATTGGCACTTTCGGCATTGGACCAATCAATCAAGTCTGCTTACATTTTTCTTGCGGAAAAGCGTCGGTTTGCTCGCGCAAGCTCTTACCTCGATGCTCAGGGAAAGTACCCTAGAGGAGACGCCCGACGGGAAGCTGAGCTTAAAAAGCTTACAGATGTCGAGCTGGGGCGCGACCAGTTCTCGCAGGAGCTGACCATGATGGCGGTAAGTTGGTTTCATGGCAAACTCTTGGCTCTTTATAGACTAACTGTCCTGGCTAGACGAGTCGAGGATACTACGACTTGGCGAGTTCGCGGTTTATTGATTCGATTTGCCAGAGCGTGCACACTAAATTGTTCGCAAAATGTCGTGATGACCTCATAAAGGAGATTGAAAGAGAGCTTTGTATCTTCGATGAAAACGGTACGTTTCTCTCCATCTATTCTTGCACATGGTAGATACTAAGACGTCGTGTTGCTCCCAGCACTGGAACGTTGTTTAGAACTTATGGAGGAGGACCCTGACCGCCAGAGACGCCGCCAATTCCTTCTCAGAGAGAAGGAGCGAATCGATAAGGCCCAGGAGTGGCTAAAGCTGGCGAGGAAGGAGGACGACCAGGAAGACCCGTTCGATAATGTGAGAATCAAGTCCCAGCCTCCCGACGATTGGACTACTTGATTCCGGCTTAGCGAGACTTGTGTGAGCATTTGTCTGTCCGCAGTGCGCTGTGACAACAGAGTCTACTTGGGCGTCAATTGTGATAGAGCGGTGGCTGGACCATGTGAGTGGATTGTTGGACAAAGTTGCAGTTGAAGCTGGAATATGATAATGATGAATGGATGGATTGACCGCAAGCATCGAGGCGGGGTAGGGAACCCCACTTTGATGCCCTAAGCCCTAAACCCTGCTTGCGATAGGCTCGAATGGTGTATGGCAGCATGTACCCAATGGAAAAGGAAAGAGGTTAGATAGAATGATTACAAGCTATTGAATGCAATTCAATGGGAACATTTGGTACTTTCTACTAGACTCGTGCAATGATGATAAACAGGAGGCCGAGTCCAAAGAACAGACGATTACTTAAGGACTGGCTGGGCGGGGGGAAGCTGCCCCTCGCGGTGCCCAATGAGGATCGCCGGCGGCGACTCCCGCCCAAAATTCTCGTTCCCTCCGACTTCAGCCCACCATCTTGTGTGTCATCGATCGATCCCTCCACTTACCTTTCTTTCCCTTCTCATCGTCTTGTTCCCACGGTGATTGAGACCGAGCAATTACCCCCCGTCCATCACCATGGCTGATAACAATGCTGTTAAGGAGGCCGAGGCCTCCATGGCCAACCTCCTCCTCGATGAGGTGACCGGCGAGAAGGTCTCCAAGTCCGAGTTGAAGAGACGCCAGAAGAACCGTGAGAAGGAAGCCAAGAAGAAGGAGAAGGAGGCCGCTGCTCCTCCCAAGGCCGAGAAGAAGACTTCCGCCGAGGATGAGGAGGCTAACCTCACCCCCAACGTGAGTCATTTTCTCCATATTCTTCCCTGGGGGGCGCTTCTTTGTGTGCCGTCGGAGGATCCATTGTCGCATCTTTGCTAACATTCCCGCTCATCTCCTCTTCTACAGCAATACTTCGAGATCCGCAGCAAGAGAATCAACAAGCTGCGCGAGACCAAGAACCCCGACCCCTACCCCCACAAGTTCCAGGTTACCGATGATCTGCGCAAGTACCTCACTGTTTACGAGGGTCTCGCCAAGGGCGAGCAGAAGCCCGAGGTCGCCGTCCGCATCGCTGGTCGTATCTACACTAAGCGTGCTTCCGGCGCCAAGCTGATCTTCTACGATATCCGCGCCGAGGGTGTCAAGGTCCAGGTCGTCGCTCAGGCTCAGCACGCCACTGGCGGCGTGCCTTTCGAGGCTCAGCACGAGCACCTCCGCCGTGGTGACATCGTCGGTATCGTCGGTTTCCCCGGCCGTACCAGCCCCAAGAACCGTGCCGACGGTGAGCTGTCCATCTTCGCTACGGAGGTGGTCCTTCTTTCTCCCTGCTTGCACGCCATCCCGTCCGAGCACTTCGGTCTGCAGGACAAGGAGCAGCGCTTCCGCCAGCGCTACCTGGATTTGATCATGAACGACAAGTCCCGCAACGTCTTCGTCACCCGTTCCAAGATTGTGCGCTACATCCGCAACTTCTTCGACAACCGCGACTTCGTCGAAGTTGAGACTCCCATGATGAACGCCATCGCTGGTGGTGCCACCGCCAAGCCCTTCGTTACTCACCACAACGACCTCGACATGAACCTGTTCATGCGTGTTGCTCCCGAGCTGTACCTGAAGATGCTGATCGTCGGTGGTCTCGAGCGTGTGTACGAGCTTGGTCGCCAGTTCCGTAACGAGGGTATTGACCTCACTCACAACCCCGAATTCACCACCTGCGAGTTCTACTGGGCCTACGCCGATGTCTACGATGTCATGAACCTGACCGAGGAGCTGGTTTCCGGTCTCGTGAAGCACATCACCGGTGGTTACGAGACCACCTTCCACACCCAGTCTGGCGAGACCTACAACGTCAACTGGAAGGCCCCCTGGCGCCGCGTGGAGATGATCCCCGCCCTTGAGGAGGCCACTGGCGAGAAGTTCCCTCCGGGCGATCAGCTCCACACCGCCGAGACCGGCGAGTTCCTCAAGCGCGTGCTCAAGAAGACCGGTGTTGAGTGCTCTCCCCCGATGACCAACGCTCGCATGCTCGACAAGCTGGTTGGTGAGTTCATCGAGGAGACCTGCGTCAACCCCACCTTCATCACTGGCCACCCCCAGATGATGTCTCCTCTGGCCAAGTACCACCGCCAGAACGTCGGTCTGTGCGAGCGTTTCGAGGCTTTCGTCTGCAAGAAGGAGATTGTCAACGCCTACACCGAGTTGAACGATCCGTTCGACCAGCGCCTGCGTTTCGAGGAGCAGGCTCGCCAGAAGGACCAGGGTGACGACGAGGCGCAGATCATCGATGAGAACTTCTGTACCAGCTTGGAATACGGCCTGCCTCCCACTGGTGGTTGGGGTATGGGTATTGACCGGTTGGTCATGTTCCTGACGGACAACTACAGCATCAAGGAGGTGCTGGCCTTCCCCTTCATGAAGGAGGACAAGACTGCACATGATACCAAGCCCGCCGCGGAGGTGGTTGGCATTGAGCCTCAGCCTGAGGAGGGTATCGGTAAGTCTACCACCTTTTATTCTTCCTAGGACAAGAGAACTTTATAGCTAACTAGTGGATTACAGCCCACAAATAGATAAATGTGATGAACTGCTTATTAGATGTTAGTATTCTCTGATGACTAGTTGCATGGTACTCGGATGTCAATGAAGAAATGCATAAAATGATAATAGATGCCACAGATGTAGTAAATATCTTTCCCCTCCCTCTATTATATACCCACCTCATGACCCTTATAGTATTTATCTTAAAAAAGTAACATACCCCCCGTGCTGAATAATAAAAAAGAAGAGAATGGCTTGTTGAAATCCGCCGCAAGCAGGACAAGAGTGGGATTCGAACCCACGCCCCTTTCGGGACCGCAGTCAGGTGACCCTGGCTAACGGTGCCTTAGACCCCTCGGCCATCTTGTCTACTGTTGGCAGAGGGGGTAAAGCGGATAGGGAAGATCGGTTGCGGGGGTTTAAACCTTCGTCTTTGCCTTGTCGGTGTGAGTCATGAGATGACAAAAAGGTGATTTGATTGTTATGTCGTCAGGTTCCCGTCGGGATGAGATAGTTGATGTAGAGTTGACGGGGAGGCAGGGGTACCGGATGTGGTTTAGCGCCGGGAGATGATAACGCAGGATCCACTACAAAGTTATAAAGCGGTACACCGACCAACTCCAAAATACTGCCACACAGCGCCGCCAATTTTAACAGAATCTCAGATGAGGTTTCTGAGACCTGTATGTTTCTAAAACCCGCTAAATCCGAGGTTTTCTCAACGAGATTCACTAGTTTCTGCCGCTTATGGCGGTCAAGGAAGCGGTAAGGGTAATTGCCATCACTACTGACATATTACCTTCCTCCAGATTTATGCCTTGGGTTTGTCTTGGTAGAGGTATACTAGTGGTCTTGGGGAGCATTGTGTAGACGTGTTGAGTAATCTTCCGGGGTCTAATGGAGGGTAGCTAGTGTGCTATAATTATTGAGCAGATAATGCATCCTGATAAAGCTGCAATGTTCTCTATATCAAAGTGCGCATTTAGACGATGTTTCTCACTGAGTAGGAGTTTGTCTGAACGAGATCTACAAAGTAGTAGTCCGCTAGTATCATAAAACAACAATGACAGCTAGGAGGATAATATGAGTATTACTAGCACCGAACAGTTCTTTCTTGATGAGTTACTGTCACTCTACTTCGTGGTTGTGGTAATCAGTAGGGTAGATACAAGCCTTAGCCTTATCAGCCAGTGTCGAATTGAGTTTGCTCTCTAGTAGTTGGGTTGAAGCGTAAGGATGGTAAGTGTAGAATGCACTGCGCTAGCTTCCAATGATAAAGCATAAATCTGTTTATGGGGCAGTTTCCGTCGGAGGATTATGGTGATGATGCTTCGGGGCTTTTCGTAGGGAAGTTCCGATAGAGATGGATAGAGTCACTAATAGTACTACTATGCTTGGCCTGTATATAGTGTCTTTTTCCTAAGTATGCCCACATCTATTTCACTAATTTTCTCAGTTCTAGAAAAGGCTTCTTTTTGCAGCCTAATATATGCGTTCAGAGGTGCTGGTAATTGATATCTACCTACTGTCACTTCTTTGCTAAGTGAGAAGCTATTAATGGTACTGGCTACTGTTTGCATTGGTCTCTATATATCCACCTACTATTAAGTAGAAAGGCAATTGTAAATTCCGTCAGGATTAATATCCATTGTCCGTCAACCCAGTTACTGCCAGTGGCTGTGTGCCATATTCACCTGGTCATGGGACATGATAGTTACTGGAATATTCCTCCAAGTCTAGCAAACCCAATCTTCAATTTCCCTTCAGCTTTAATGAATGAACTATGCCCCTCAACGGATTTGTCGCGCATAGGAACTCCAAACTCCCGAGAGCATAACTCATTCACACCGGCATTTCCCTGCGCAACAGCTGTACATCTCCACAATTTCTTTCGAAGATAAGTATTCTAGAAGACAAAGAATATGTATATATACTTCGGAGAATTATCTACTCATCTCGACCACTAGTACTGACTATTACAGCCACATCCAGCTAGTACCCAGCCACCACCAGTGAGACACCTATTTTCACTACTCAAACTGCCATGGATTCCCGGTCTACAACCGCCCCAAACGACACGACCGCAAACCAGAGCCCAGCCTCAGAAATACATACTGAGTTCCGGTACATAGAAGCCTACGAAGATGTCTGCGACAGTTGTGAACTCTTCAACATGCAGAATGCCATGTCACAGTGCAAATCATGTGGATGGCGAGAATGTCGTGCGTGCACGATTGAAACTGGTGGCCGTCGATCCCATCAGTTCCAAGGCAAGAGACATTTCTCCCCTGTTGATATATCGGAGTTGAGGACCCAGGCGGCGATTGATCACGAACGCAGAGTGGCCAGACTAGGGGGATGGATGTCAATGAGGGGGTTGTCAAGACAGAGGGGCCATGCCAGAGGGTGGAGATACAGTAGAAGGAGGAGAGGAGGACAGACTGGAGGGTGGGAAAGGAGAAACGGACGAGGCCACCGTGGAAATCGCCAACGTGGTCAAGAACCAGCGCCTGGAGCTGCCCCTGCCCCTGCCCCGTCCCCGGCAGCTTCTCCTAGCATTGGGGAAGCACGGTTGGACGGTGCTCGAGCTCCCGAGACAGCGGAGGGTGCGGAGATGCTGTATGCTTTGGGCCTTGAAGACTCTGCTAGTCGCAGAAGTGAAAGTGGTAGGTGACAGATACAGTAGGTCTAAAACATGGCTCTTTCTTACAGCGTTTATAGGGTCCACCACCTCTGAGGAAGAGAGACAAAGTAGACATGCTTCCTGTCTCATCCTGGCAAAACGTGCCCGCGAACAATTCGAAACCCAGCAGACAGACAGGGCAACTGAGGAGTGTGTCACATAAAATAGATAACTATCTTTTGATGTGCTGTTATTCGACTACTGCTCCGGCAACGAACATACGCCCTTTGGCTTTTCATCATGTGTCATGGTGCCACATCACCATTTCCGTTCATTGCTATGAAATGTCGTTGGCTATTCTCTGTCTTAATTTGCTCGCACTCTGTGTGTGGAACAGTTGGGCAGAAGAAATGATATGCCTGTGCGAGAGATGAGAGCCGGCCTTCAACACAGGCATAATATTCGGAAAGAGGTAGGCGCCGATTTCCTCCGTGATTCTCCATTATGCTGTTGCCCGATGCCAGCAGACTTTGGATTATGACTACTACGATTGCAGTATTAAGCTAATCCGGCAGAGACAAATTCAGTGGCACGTGATCATATTATACAAATACGTGAAGTAGAGATTTTAGTAGACATACAGGGCCACTCCGTGGCAGTATAATACATGTAGGATGTAGTCCAGAACTCCTGTCTGTTCGTCATATTTGGCCCTTATACCCTCCGGGGCGCATGGGCCGCGGCATTGGTGAGAGCCTGTCCACGGGCCTTGGCTGCCATCTGAAGCAGCTTAGCCGTCCTAGACGGGTGCCAGATACGGCTTCCCAGGACAAGCACCCAGGTAAGAAGGAAAAGACTGCCCGCCTGGTGGGCAGAGGCCAAAGGCGTGGGAACAAGGTAAAGAAGCGTCGAGATACCCAGACCAACCTGCATGCAAGCGAAAGCGACCACACCGTGGACACCCTTCTTCGCAGCGGGGGGCAAAAGGCGTTTCATGGTGGGGGATCCGCGAGTGTAGGCCAACAGAGCCATGATGCTCGTGAAGGTAGTTATGGCCAGAGCGCGGTGGTCCAGTTGCACCAGGGAAGGATTCTCCAGCATGTTTCTCCACCACAGGTCTGATCTGTCCTCGTGGCGAGAGTACCGTTCATCAAACAATTCAGACTTAGGAGGAGCCAGGCCATTACCCATAAATGGGAACTCGTTATAGATGAGACCAGCATCCAGGCCAGCGACCAGGGCACCCGACATGGCAGTCACGAAAACCAATGCAGCCAAAGCGGCGACGGAGCGACGGAAGATCTTGAGCTTAGGGTCACGGAGCGCGTCAAGAAGCTTGATTCCAGCTTCCGGGTCGGCGAGCAATCGGTGGGAGCGCAGGATAGCAAGTCCGTTCCAGAGCATAGCAGTATAGCAGACGAAAGCCGCACCCAGATGCGCTGTCAGACGGTACTGGCTGACACGAGGGTGGCTGCCGGGAGCGAAAAGATCATCCTTCAGGCCAGACTTGACCATCCACCAGCCGATAAAACCTTGGAATCCGATCAAGCCTGCGATACCAGCGAGACGCAGAGCCATAGGCTTGCTAACCTTTTTCGCAGCAACGAAATATGCGGCCGGGAGGACGAACGACAAGCCGACAAAGCGGCCCCAGAGACGGTGGATCCATTCCATGTAGTAAATCGACTTGAATTCGGAGAGGGTCATATGCGGGTTCAAAAGCTGAAATTCGGGGGAGGCACGGTACTTGGAGAATTCTGACTCCCAGTCTTCGGCGTTCATGGGGGGAAGGGATCCGGTGACAGGGCGCCATTCGGTGATACTCAGACTATAAAATGGCTGCGTTAGCATTGGTCCGAAATATAGCAATGGATGGAAGGACCATACCCTGATTCAGTCAACCTGGTAAGGCCGCCAAAAACTACAATGCCAAACACGCTGGCCGCGCTGGCCAGTAGCCAGTAGGCCACTTTCTTATCGCTCACATCCGGGAAGCTAGATTTGGCTTTCGCGGCTTCTCCCTGGGCAGCAATTGCCTCCGCCGTTGCTGATCCGGAAGCACTTCTTTTCAGGCTAGACGCAAAAAGCTTTCTGGCCCTCGACTGCAGGGCAGAGTTGGCTCTGCTGTTGGCGTTCTGGGTGAAGGGCAGGGCGGAGAATTGTCTGCGGAAGGCGGATTTAGTCGCGTGATTCTGAGTGCGGACCAAACATTGGCGGCAGGTGAAGAGCTCCCTCGATAGCCGGGGAGACAAGCTTCGCAGCAAGGGCACGGAAGGCCCCAAGGATGCCATGATGGGCGGATGAGGAGAGAATGAAGCTGTTCAAGGCTTGCCAGGCCAGAATTTCTGGTTGAAACTCGGCGAGTCTCGCGTTCGGAAGCCCGAAGGCCGAAACCATTCCAGCCAATCAGAGCACGTCAATTTGTTGTCGATCGATCAGCCCATACACTATACATTCTACCCCAATCTCTCTCTCTTTCTCTCTCTCTGTCTATCCCCTTCTACTCCAAACATCTGTCTATGATGATGGTGGGCTATTCTGTCACATCATTTCACGTTCAAGTCGTACAACCTCTCGACCAATCTGAGGTGACTCGGCATGCAAGCGTGAGCGACACCGGTGCTTGCTTCAAGCCGTCTGGAAGGTCATGGCCTCAGTTAGTGATCAATAATCTGTTATAGCATATACTCTACAGGACTATGCAGATTTCCGATTTTTTTGGATGCCGCACACATGGTCTGTTCTCCCCTCATGAAAGTGCTGTCTACGTATGTTCACTCCTGTGGCACGTCACGAACAATTGTTCGGCCGAACTACCCTCGCGTCTGGAAGCCACAACTTAACATCGACCGATAAAGCTTGTTTCCACACACTGGCGCATTTCTGTGACATAGTGATGGCTATCTACAATACCACACATGATGCTGAGGATTTATCGAACTAAAGGCGAAATACACCTTTGGCCAGCCAGAAAAGCACAGCCACTTCAGTCTCGGTGCGAGAAATGGCTCCAAGCATGTAAAGCAGATTGCATACCAATGGGTAACTTCACTGTTACTAGGCAAGGATCACTACTGTTCTGGTGTACCTGAAGTATTCAAGGATGAGGGACTAGGAACGGACTAGTCTCAGTTGTTCGTTCCTCCGCTGCTGATCATTACCTTGAGAATGTGTACATCAAAAGTTGTTCACTAATCCGCCTCGGATTTCGCAAATGGTTCGTGAAGGTGTGATAGTATCACTGCGGGGTCCTGCAACATCAAGGCATCCTTTTTCCCAGATTATCTCATTCTCCTCTTTTCTCTCGGTATACCCGGGGCCCCGCACAAGTGGGGCCGATGCAGGGTATCAGACACTAAACAGACACGCAGCAGGAAATCATTCAACCCGTCTATACGAGTACGAAGTTTGGTAATCGGCTGCAATCAGACCGAGCTGTATTTCTCGCCCACAGTAGTGGAGGAGGCCAAAGCTTCCACGTTCCTGGGACTACTCAGCTCGTTGCAAAGAATCTCATGATCACATTCTAGTCCGATCCCCTCGTCAGCTCCATGCACTGCCGCCGAGCAAGTATTCATCCAAAGATCTGCTGCCTGACTGCTTCATTTCGGCTCAGAATTGTACCGAGTCGCTTGGCCCCTCATCAGACTCGACAGAGCACAATGGGCGGATGGTCTATCAGATATTTATATAGTATGATGTATGATTCTCGAGATTTATCCCATTCTCACCAGGAACGGGATCAAACCACAAAAAACGAGGATGCAATTACCGTATCTTTTATTAAACACTGCTCTACTTGTTCAGAGTGTGTTCGCTGTCGGGACTAATGACCAAGTCGAACCTGACATCGATTATGGCAGCTTTCAAATTCCCTCATCCAATGTGAGACCACGGTTCCGCTACTGGGTGAATGATGCGTCCATGACTCTGAGCGTGGTAGCAGAGGACGTAAAGGCCATGGGTAAAGCTGGGGCAGGTGGGCTTGAGTTACTCGGTTATTATCTGTATGGAGATTCGTCGAATCTAGATGGACAACTACAATGCCCCCTGCAAACAGACTGGACTATATTCGGTTTTGGAAGCCCTGCCTGGAGTATGCCCTGCTGCGGCCCATGATTCTGCTCAAGAAATATACTAATATGTTAACTAGAGGATCTAGTCGACACTGTCCTGACGGCGGCAAAAGAATGTGATCTACTCGTGGACTTGGCCATGGGGCCAAACCAAGGTGCTGGTGTTCCGGCGCCCTACAACGATGATGGCCTTTTGTGGGATTTGGCCGGGTTCAACTCGACATTGTCCAACGACGAAGGCTTTGATGGAATTGTTCCTGGATGGGGCGCGGGCCCTCTGATTGCAGCTGTTACCGCCCAGGTCAACTCGACCAGTCCAAGCAATGATACATACAAAGTACTAGCGGAAAGCTCGCTACTGGACGTCACAAATCTCGTCAGCTCCAATGGGCATCTTCAAGTCAAAGTAAACGATACTGCAGGAGGCTCTAAGTATCTTTTCACCTATTATTTGGTTCATTCCGAATATCGTGAGGTCCAGAGTCCTGCTGATGTTACGGCCGCTGTCCCTCAATCGCCCGTGACGACTTACTCGCAGAACGGGTCATGGGTTGTGGATCATTTCTCTTCCCAAGGCGCGTTGGCAGTTGTAGACTTTTGGAGACAGTCATTGCTGGACAGCGAGACAGGCGCACTGATTCGTGAAGTGGGCAATTATCTCTGGGAAGATAGCCAGGAGTTCACCGTCTCCACATTCTGGACTCCGCGCCTCCAAGAGGTGTTCCAAACCAACCGAGGCTACAGTATCAACAGATTCATTCCACTTCTGATTGGATCTGGAGGCGGATCGACTCCAGATATTACCTATGTTACTGATGAGCTTGATGCAGGTGCCAGTCATACAGTGGACTATCAGCAAACAGTTCGTGTGCCTCCTCCTATATGAGGAAGGAGTTAAACGCTGACTTGAGTAGCTCACAGAACTGAACGCCGAGTACCTCACGTCTTTAAAACAATGGAGCAATGACCTTGGTATCCAATTCTCCGCACAGGTAGTTTACAATCTGCCTATGGACATGCTTGCCAACGTACCCTACGTCAACGGTCCCGAGTGCGAGACACTAGGTTTCAGCGATAATATTGACAGCTACAGGCAATTTGCAGGTCCCGCGCATCTTGCTGGGAAGCGCATTATCACCAATGAGGCTGGCGCAGAGTTGTCGAAAGTCTACCAGGAATCCATACCTGAGCTCTTATGGACCCTGAAACGTTCTTTTGCCGGCTCCGTCAACCAGTTTGTGCTTCACGGATACCCAAACTCGGGAAATTACGGAAACACAACGTGGCCCGGGTTTACAACATTCTCGTATCTGTTTTCGGAAATGCATGGTCCTCGTCAGCCGGCTTTTGCCTATTACAGGGATTTTCTCGATTGGCTCTCCCGGAACCAGTTCGTGGAACAGACAGGTATCCCTAAGGTGGACATTGCCTTTTGGTCGAAGTCTACCACATACAAGACTGTGCCAACTGTTTACAGTCCTGTCGATTTACAGAGCGCAGGTAAGCAGCTCCACCCTGGACCGGAGGGTTAATGATGCTTAGCTAAAGTCTGGTTCGCAGGCTATACATATGAATACCTAAGCCCTGACAACTTTGCGCTACCCGGGGCGTTCGTCTCCAATGGCACTTTTGCACCTAACCAGCAGGCCTTCAAAGCCCTCGTTGTGCGAGCAAACGAGACCCTGACAGCGTCTGGAGTTGCGAAACTTGTTGAATACGCTCATTCCAAGCTCCCAATTATCTTCTCCGGTGGACTGCCATCGAACTTCAGCGGGTACAATCCAGAAGCTGCAAGTCTAGCCGTCAGCACAATTAAGAACCTAACTTCTTCAAATAACGTTCACACCGTACCGTATGACAACCTGGCGGCAACACTCAGATCTCTAGGCATCCTCCCGCGTACGTCCGTGAGTGCGAACCGCACCTGGTACACCACTTGGCGGCACGATACAAAGACACTTACGGACTATGTCTATGTGTACAATGATGCAGCCGGTGTTCCATTTGGAGGTGGTATTTCATCAGGAACAATATCCTTCGAGACAACGGGAACGCCCTTCCTCTACGATACCTGGTCCGGTGATATCAGCGCCTTGTCCATCTATCAGAAATCGGAGAACCATGTTACAATACCTCTGACTCTGGCCGGAAACCAGTCCGTTATCAATGGTTTCCACAAGAACTCTCAGCCAACTCTTCACTTACAGAATTCAACAGGCGGAATCCTAGGAGCAACCGGGAATGCCACATCCCTCACCGTTCTTAGATCCGTCGATCAGGAGTCTCGGGACATCTATCTTTCGAATGGCAAGTCCGTGACCCTAGCCCCGATGCTAACGCCTACAATCACGCTTGGCAACTGGACACTGATAGTCGAGTCATGGACGGCGCCTTCGGACCTTTACAACGTCGAGTTGGGGCCGAAACGCACTAACCAAACGTTTGATCTTCCGACTCTACTGCCCTGGAACCAGGTATCGGCGTCTCTAGCCAATGTTTCTGGAATCGGATACTACTCGACAACGTTCGACTGGCCTCCGCAGGCTACCAATGGCACGGTATCCGGCGCGATAATCGATGTTGGGCCCATTGTGCACACGGCACGCGTCACCGTAAATGGACACGTGCTGCCACCGGGAGAAATCACTTGGGCAAAGTGGGATATTGGGAATTTCCTTCGACGGGGACAGAATACGGTGGAGGTAGTTGTTAGTACCCCTCTGGGCAATGTGCTACGGACATACTGGGATAAATTGGAGACGAGTGGGAAACTTGCCACTGCCGTTGTCCCGTCGCCCCCGGATGAAGCAGACTACGGATTGATTGCTCCAGTGAAAATTATTCCTTATCGGAAAGACCAGGTTGCTTAGTTGTCAGAATGCGTATTGTGCCATCTGCGGGTAACAGCTATGCTACGCCTGTCAAGTGCCTACCATGTCCATAGCAAATCAGATCTTCGAAATCCCGCTTGATATTGATATCATGCTTGTTTGTCAAACATAATAGCAAACAATCTACATAACCCAAGTCTAACTTCCAGCCTCACGCAGCACCATTCCTCAACCTCTCCGCCCCCTCAACATACGACCCATGCCTCACCTCCTCCACAATCCCAACCTTCTTCGGCGCCCACCCCAACACCCTCATCGCCTTCCCCCCAGAAGCCCTATTCTCCGTACTCAAAAACCCAGCAAAGAACTCCCCCCACACCCTCTTCGCCTCCTCCAACCTAACCAACCCAACCTCAACCCCCAGAACATCCGCCATGGCCCTTCCCAACTCCCCAAACGTCACTCCCCACTCCGAACACCCATTAAAAACCTCCCCAGCATCACCCCTCTCCACAGCAAGCAAATACAACTCGGCCGCATCCTCGACATGCACCGCAGACGTAACCACCTCCTCCGCCTCCTTCACAATCTTCACCTCCTTCTTCCCCCCATCACCACCATTCCAAAACATCCCCATGAACAACCCCACCCCACTCCCTCCCCGTCCATACACAAACGGCGGCAACCGAATCACAATAACCCTTACCCCTTTCTCCTCCCACCACCTCAGGTTCTTCCTCTCAGAGACAATCCGCTCATTCAGCGCCTTCCCTTCCTCCCATAGTGCCGAGTTCTCGTCCGTCTCTGTTCCCGTAGCAGCAACTACCAATGATCCGGAGGTCACAACAAGTGGCTTGTTAGTACCCACTAATCCCTCGGCGATGGCGGTGACTGCTTCGTCGTCGATACGGATGCGTTCTTCGTATGGGAGGCTGTAGTTCCCTGCCATGGGGTCCGCCAGGTGGATGACTATATCTGCTTTTTGGCTTTGCTCACGGAGGACGGAGTGTGTGGTGAGATCACCACGGACCGGAACGGCGCCGAGGGAGGTGATTTTGGCGTCGCTTTCGGGACTGCGTGAGAGGGAGTGGATGGTGTAGTTCTTGGATAGAGCGTGGGTTGTGATGGCGTGCCCGAGGTAGCCGCTTCCGCCGGTTAGGAAGATGAGGGGCATTTTGGAAGAGTTTCTTCTTCTGGTCGATTTTGATTGGATTAGTATGGAGTTTTGGACTGTTGGTTGTTGGTTTCTGGTGTATGGTGGGAGGTTATATATGTAGTACTCTCTTCAAGGTATATCGGGATTAAGGGGGTTAACTCCGGGGAGGATCCGGAGTTTAGGATGAGATGAATGCACGATGGGGGCGACTGGTTCAATAGTAGGGGATATGAGTGTGCATACGGGATAGAAGGGATCCGAGGAGTCGTTATGCTGGGATGAGTGAATAATACGCCTATCTCTAGTGAGCATTATGGTTCCAGGGGGAAGATGATAGGGCTTTTTGTAGGACAGATAGACAACAAGCTCATCAGGTCATGCGTTAAGGGCTCTAGTATACTCTATAAACAAGCGCAACATGCAATCTCATAGCAGCCTCGTATATTTTTACCAATTAGAAAGGAACCTCTTCCCCTCTCCAACTGATGAACCGGCCTCCAACTGTTTTCCTCGTGGCGCTTTCAATCTGGTCTACTCAGTATCACACCCCAATATATAAGAAGTACAATTATGAAAATAGACTTACCAACGTCACCAAAGCCTCCGCACACTCCTTCGGCTCCGCGAATGCCTCTTCCAGCCCAATACTCTTCGCACACGCATTCCCCATCTCAGTCTTGACGAACCTACGCATTTCATATCAGTACCCCAACCCATTCCTAAGCGCAAGATAGTAAGCTCACCCCGGATGAACCATAGAACAAACCATCTCCTCGTTCTCAACATGCATTTTCCTCGTCACCCAGTTACTGGCAGCCTTACTAGCCCCATATGCAGCCCCGGGAAAGAATTCCTCCTCGAGACCGCCGATACTTCCCAGGAAGCTACTAACACTGACAAACACCGGCTTCGTGCTCTTCTTCAGCATGTCATATACACCCTGGAAGAGGCGGATTGTGCCAAGCGTGTTCACGTCAAAGTGCGATTGCACGGTAGAGAGAGGGATGTTGTCGACACGGTGGGTGGCGTCGTTGTAGTACCCTGCGTTGGAAATCACGGTGTCGATGTGCGTGATGTTGTGTTTCGATTCGAGGGTTTCGATGGCTGTAGTAATTGAGGTGGTGGATTGGATGTCGAGGGGAAGGAGGATGAGAGTTGAGGTGGGGGATGTTTGTTGGGGGTTAGTATAGAGAGAGTTCGTGGTGGGGTTGCGCATGGTGGCGACCACGGTGGTGTTTGGGCGGAGCAGGAGAGTTTGGGTGAGGGCGAGGCCGATTCCTGGATTATTTTGTGGGTAAGCTGGACGAAGAGGGTGGTGTGGTATGGAGATGAGAATAATGAAAGTAGTGTGTACCTCTGCTGGCCCCGGTGATGAGGTAGATGGTTGGGGATGACATTGTGGGGTGTGGGTTTGCGTGGGATTGGTAATGCTTGATGTGAACGGATACAGACTATTGAGATGTAGGAACTAAATGAATATCTCGAGGTGGGAATGTATAGAAGAGTAATGGGGTCTATCTGGTGGAGGATAAGCGACGCATTTATAGTCATTCGTTTTGGGGCTAGCTAAGCTGAGACTAGGCCAAGAAAGGAGCTAACGAGTCGTGGCTTGTGGTGGGATACGAGCTTCCATTCCTGGCATAGCAGTACAGTCTCTCGCTAAACCCTGTTACAAGCCTGGGTATATAGAGCACTGGATGATACAATTCTGATTGCTGACTGTTCCTAGACCATAGTTGTATGTTTCAGGTCCCGCAAATCAGCTTCACCCTAAGAACTAAGATGTATCAGTATTCGTCCAGTCCATATACTACTAAATCATATGTGATACGGCATTGTTTTCTTGCCGTCGTTTTCAATCGCTTACTATCTACTAGTTATTAGACTCCGCGTATGTCCTGATAGATGCAGAAGTGATTTTAGCTGCGATGAAGCCCACCTAACGTATAATAAGGGTCTTGCTCGGTCTCGGTTAGGGACTACCGCAAGCCATAAGAGGATGGGACTGCTTGGCCTCTTGAATAGTCATTGAATTCTACTATGATAACAAAGGGTCTTGATTATGGTAAGAAAATGCGTTCGCATGCTCTTCATGTCGCTGCTCTCTGTACGAGTAAAGCAGCATAATTGCGGGGAGAGCCTCTATAGTCTGCTGATGAGTGAACTCCTCTCTCTTACTCGAGCTTTACTTCTGTACTCTGAGTTGTTCAAGTAAACGTCCTCTGTAGGTACAATTGAACCCTTCCCAGCCCTGTCCCTCGATGCCTTCAGTGAATCTGAAGATTACGAATGAATTTATCCCGGAACCTACAAAAATGTGCCACTCCCGGAGATGATTGAAATGTGACTGACTAAATTAGAAAGGGTTCCCCCTGAACGCATTGGAATTACATACCTGAAGCGGAGTAATGTATCTTTCAAAATGTGCTGTGGCGTGGCCCTCGGCGTCTGAGTGACAATGCACGATAGTGCAAATTGTTCGAACGCAATTGTTCTGAAATTTAATCTCCTCGAAATTGAAAGGATCCCAAAACTTCCAGATCCGTACTTGTTGTAAACTTGGGAACTGGACAGTGTCTAAGCCATCAGGTTTGCGGCAATAGTCTTTCAGTGTAGCGATCTTGATGTATTTTGCATATATGTTCCGGCGTGCTTCTGGGATTTTATCAAGGAGGTCCAGAACATCCCTACGAGTACTTGGGGGATAACAGGGCATGGGATTTCTCCATAGCCAACGCATTGCCTCTGAGAACCATAATTTGCTGACGAGGGCGCAAGAAAGGAGTTGACTACCTTTGTCGTATGAATAGAAGCACGCGAAGACCTGACTCAAGATCTCGGGAATCGCTAGCGCACGCTGAACGGCTGAAATATTAAGGTGCTCACTGTTCAGAGCCATTTCCAGATTGTACAATGTGAGAAACTGTCAGTATGGACAAATGTAAGTTAATAAGTGTTGGAGATTCTAGGCGCTCCGTAGGTGATACCTTCTATCGCCACTTGGCTGATCTGTATTGTCCAGGACCGGGGGAAGCCACAGATAATTGAACAAGTCAAGAAAATAGTAGAAGAATTATAACGAAGTAATCATAGTAGTAAGTTGCAGATTTCTGGACAAAGTAGCATCCACGATGGTCTTGATCATAAAGAATGCCTGATGACAAGTGTGAATTGGCATAGAACTCAGGTCAGACAGACAATGAAATAAATAACTATATAGAACAGTTCATTCAGCTAGGCACCCGCTCTGCTGCCTGCAAGAAAACACCCCTTCCATTCCTCGCAGAGATGACCTTTTTCCGGGGATGTAGAGATCCTGATAGATACGATCAACCTAGCCCCGTTTCCGATGTCCTAAGTGGACTCCCCCACATAATTGTACACAAATAAGAAAAAAAAAGGTAGTACCTGATGCTACTCGGACACAATTGGATGTCAAGAAAAGATATGTGATCTAATTCCGTAGTCCCTGGCGATTCACCTGCAGGTGAACATCCCTCTCGTTGCCTTAGGCAGAAACATGTTTAGCTCCATTTCGGGTCTAGCGCCACCAGCTCCGAGGCCATTCCAAGATCCAGACTCCCTTATCTCAAAGACCACTCCAACTGCACAACGCCATTACCTCCGCGTGCTGGAAAATGTCCTACGCCGTTGAAACGAAGAAGCGCAAGTTTCATCGAGTTCTCGAGTCCCTAACCAAACCGTCAACCTCCGACTCAACAAAATCAGCCGCCGCCGAAGCGCCTACAACAGCTCGAGACGCATCGAACAAGAAAGCCCGTCTAGATGCGCCCAACTTCTCACTTGCACGAAACTCACTTCTAAAGGCCGCACGCCCCAGCTCCAGAGACTCTTCGGTATCGTCAACCTCGCGGCCGAGTTTTGTTCCTTGGGATCGCGAACGTTTCCTCGAGCGATTGGAAACCTTTCGTCGCGTCGACAGATGGGCACCCAAACCGTCAGCAATTAGTGAGGTAGAATGGGCCAAGCGCGGCTGGGTATGTACGGATGTGGCCCGGGTAACATGTGCTGGGAACTGTGGTGGGTCGGTTGTTGTCAAGCTTCCGGATGAGCTGGACGAGTTGGATGGGTTCGATGCCGACAAGGTGCAAGAGAGGAAGGAAGTTCGTGAGTTTGCCAATTGCCGTGCCTGCTTCGTGCTTCTAATGTATATCAGGAGCCAAGCTTGTGGATGAATACGTGGAACGACTGGTCAAGGGGCACGGAGAGACTTGTCCATGGAGGAACAAGGGCTGTGATGGTGTGTTCTCTGATATTTGTGGTTGCCATTTCGTGAGCTGATTGTTACAGCTACTATTCATCGATTGCCGCTAGCGAACCCCGACATAGCCATTTCCGGCCTCGAAAAGCGATACTCAAACCTCGTCAAGATGGCCGATCAATTGCCGGCAGCAGACGTCATCCACACGCCCGAGTCCTTCGATATCGAAGCACTCATTAAGATACTTCCAGCGAGCTTTAACGGTCCTGGAGAAAGTACGCGCATGGAAAGCATTGAGAACAATACTGAGGGTGAAAACGGGAAAGAGAACGCACAGAACTCTGAGCCTGAGCCGTTTGTTCCTAGGAACGCTTTCATATTGGCATTCTTCGGCTGGGACTCTGTCCCGGACGGGACAGCTGGTTTGGTCGGCTGTAGCGTGTGCTTCCGGAGATTGGGCCTGTGGATGTACAAGCCAAAGGCCAACGGGGATGAGGCTCTTTACGACTCTTTGGAAGTGGTGAACGAGCATATGGACTACTGTCCTTGGGTGAATGGGAAGGCTCAGAGTGGAACAGGCCGGGCCACCGAGAAACTAGAAGGCCTACGTTCCGGTTGGGAGCTGCTGGGCCAGGCACTCAATGTGCGCCATCGTCGACTGAATCGGTCGACCACCTCGGGAGACAGTCGTGCTGTCTCTGAGGTACCATCCACGGATGAGCCCGTGGTGGACGATGTGAACCCAGAAGTAAAAAAGGCCAGTGACCGGGAATGGTGGGCCAAGTTACGCCGCATGCGACAGGTCTTGAACGTCAGTTCGCCTAGGAAGAAGCCGACTTCTCAGTGATATTTTTCATCATTCTGTACTTCTGCACATGATACTCCTCATCTGGTTGTTAATGCAGCGTGGCGTTTGGGCATCATGTCTATCTTCTCGATATCCTTCATTCCTACATTAGTTATTGCTATAGCGAGCCTTTGTCATCCGCCTCGATAAATTAGAATACAGCCATACTCAATCAGAGAAAGATCGGAGAACAAAAGTTATCATTTACTCAACGACATAAGAAGTATTGCTTTGAAGCCAGATGCACAACCCGCCAAGCATAAGTAAGCTGAAGATTATAAGCACCCATTGAACCTGCCCTCTCTTTCCCTTCCGCCTGTACATCTCCCAGCCCGGTCCTGAGCGCCCTGGCAAAGGCAGAAAAGAAACAACCTCTGCATCTGCCATTACTTTGGATGCCAGGTCAGCAGGCAGGTTGCCAGCATAAGGAGCCCAATATCGTCCAAAGGCGGTGTTGAGGATGCCATCTCGGGCCTGAATCCGAGAGACTGAAGCCGCGGTGCGACACATGCCTACCATGCGAGAGTATCGAGTCTCCTGATACTGCTGGAGGAGATGCTGTATCTGGGCATTTGACGGTTTGCAAACTCCGCGGGCGTTGATGAGATCATGTAGAAGGGAGGAGAGCGCGGCAGCATCCTCGATAGCACAATTGGCTCCCTGGCCAAAGTTGGGCGTCATCTGATTGCAGACTAAGTAAGCCGAACGATATCACTTCAATTCTCTTAGCCACGCACCTTGTGAACGCTATCGCCGATCAACACCATCCTTTCATGGTGCCACGTCTCAAACACACCCTCCTCCAGCGCTGTCATTGAGGATACCTCTCTGTTTTTCCACAAATCCCCCACACAGATGTCTTTCCAAAACCGCACGTGCTTGACCCGTTCGAAGAGCTGTACGGCATCCTCGTCTGAGAACCGCGGGACATCAGGGTAGACGTACTTTCTATCCAACTTCTGGATCACGAACCAGAACACCCGACCATGTCTGCCGTGGATTGTCAGAATGGATAGATGGTCATAGATCCCGTTGATCTGTTCGCTTATCTCAAGCCCTGGGATGGCCGACGAAATTCCGAAAACGCAGACATATTCAACAGTCATGCCTGCTTATGTTAGTGTTGATTTCACCCAGCACAAAGAAGGTGAGGGACGGGAAATACTCCTTCTTTCACGCCTCGAAACAGATGCAGGCCGATTCTCCTCGGCCATTTTCCAGATCTCACTTCTCACCCGACTATGTACTCCATCAGCACCAACCACGAGATCCGCCTCATACTCTGTCCCATCAGCCACAGCAACAGTAATTCCATGCTCCAACTGTCGCACTTCAACTACCCTTTTACGGGTGAGAACGTTATGTTTCTTTGTCAGACCCTCATATGCAATTTGCAGGAACTTCTGCCGGTCCAAGAACGCAACCGGATATCCGAACCTATAATCTTAGCCACAGCACCGTCTCTCTTCTTTGTTCGCATACTGGTAAACGCAGAGACTATTGACATACCTATCGCCCAAAACCTTCGGATAGACGTTGCTGAAGCAGAACCCATCTGGATAGCTAATGTTCGCCTGATGCAACGGCTCAATCACACGCTCGATCTCCCCAAACAGGCCTAGTTGCTCGAGAATCCGTCCGCCATTTGGCATAATACCTATCGAGGCACCAACTTGCGGGGCAACATCGTCTCCTTTTTCGAGTATGAGGTACTCAATATTGGCGCGTTCCAGACAGTGCGCAAGGGTGAGGCCTGCGACAGAACCGCCCACAATAAGGACGCGAAATTGAGGTTGCTGGGTATTGGCCATACTTGCGGATGTTGCCAGTAACCAAGCCTCAATCAAAGGTAAGGCTCACTTATGGTATAAATATCGTGTTGATACCTTTGCCTCAAAAGAGGTTGCACCTAATGCAGAAAGATTCCAAACTGCACGGTAAGCCAAGTGTTTGCTATTCTCACTGCTGGAACGAATGACCCTCAAGCGAAATCCAGCACTGCCATTGTGGCAGAACTGCGTAGTCAAGCTACTTCGGCTTATGCAAGCCAGTCTCGTGGTACATGCACTTTACCAATAGTTGCTGTGTGTCACAAGCGTGGCTGTTCATCATGCCATCGTCTATTTGCAATCATAAATGGCAGAAAGGTAGGTATGCCTAGCTTTATTCTACACAGCTTAAAAAGACAGCCACATGTGTCAAGATAGCATATACACTGCTTTATCCTGTTATTAAATGCTTTTCTTTGCCGGCCCAAACCTGTCTATTGCATGACACGCAGAAATTCCGTTCTCGTGACAGCACTACAAGCAGTGGTACAACACCGTGAACTTTCTCCGCCATGCCGCCAGAATAAATAGCTGTGTGTTGCACACGCGACTATTCTCATACCGTTCCTGGCTACCAATTCCGGTGATATGACATCTTCCCGCAGCTTATTCCTGTCTGATGCATCTACTACGCACAATCCCTCAACAAAGCATCTATCTCTCCTTGTGCTTGATTCCACACTGGGAGCTCTTCTCTTGTCGCTTGACAGAACAGAATAACACGCCATATAGGATCTCGAAGAGAAAGAACATGGCCACGGACCATATCACGAGTGGGCAGTTTAAATACGAAAAAGCCTCCCACCAACGAAAATATCGAATAAGGGCAAAGCCAATGGCTGACGTTGATCCAAAGAACCTCGAGATCCTAGTGAACGTTCAACACAGCTGATTCTCAAACCAGGTCAGACAAATACTTACCATAGCTTCCACGATGCGCCTCGGGTGTTTCCGCGACTCAATAACTGAAATACATTCCCTATGCTAATAAAGAGCTGACATGCAATTGCCCCCCACGTATAGGCTTGTGCAGGACCAACCTGGGCAGTAAGAGCCATATGCCCACTCAGACAACAAAGTGTTGTTGCTGCGAAGACGAGAGTCATATGGTTCCTCACAATTGCAGAGTGGTGCCATTCATTTGGGGCATTCTTGATTCCCGCGTAAATAACCCCAAGGTCGAGTGAAATGCCAACAAGAAAGGCAACCCGCTCGATAATGCCTTTGGCAGGATACATTGTGCAGAAAACAATCTCCCAGGCAAAATTGATGCAAAGGCCCCCGATGGTCATGCAGTAGGTACGGTCCCTGAACGATGTGTGAATCATTTCCACATAGTGAGCAACCCAGCCGACAGCCATTCCAACAACGAAAATATCGGCGAGCCATTTTAGCTCGTTATATTCCTGAGGAGCAGTAGAATGGTCGAAACCATCCATTGAAGCAAGAATAAGAGGCAATTCAATGCTGAATGAATTTGGTCGCCGTCGAGATCTGAGTCACTTGTCTCTTGCATGACCTGAGCGTGCTTATATAGTGAGATGACTTGCGGTCAGCTAGTGATACGGCGTCATGGTTCTTTTCTGCTGACGGTACGCCATGAAGGTCTGTCAGTCTCCATAAGTAGACTGATGTCCGCACCAGGTAGGACCACCAGGAGCCTCGGTAATTATGTGTCACCAGTGCGCTATTCTCAAGCCCTTCAAAGCCCTGCAAGACAGCCAGGGGAGTGCACCAGGTTTCAAAGGCTGTATCTCCTGCCGTGCCGCTAAAGCATGTCGCCATACCCAAATGTCAGCTTCTATCAAGAGATAGAGTCAGGCAACAACCATTCTGGCCGGCTCGACCGCACAGAAGGGGAGATGGTGTAACTTGTGCGAGAAACAGCTTGTGCAGAGGAGAACCCTGAGCCATTGACGATGAGTGTACGGCTGAAGTATCCTGTCTATAGCATACATATATAGACAGGAGAACGTCCCTTTGCGAGCCCATTGGGGTACCGCGCTGTCATCCGTTAACCTTCTTATCCCTGCATTTCGTCCCACTCAGGAAGGACCGAATCATGGCGGCACTGCCGGACGTTGCCTCCATTCCCCTTCCTCTGGTGGCAACCCTGGGAATTGCCCCTCTAGTTTTCTATCTCGTCCTTGATAGAATTGGCCCTTTGTGGCCAAACTCCAAAACTTTCTTGATTGGAAAGAAGAAGCCGGAGACCGTGACATCCTTTGAGTGCCCATATGCCTACATCCGGCAGATCTATGGGAAGTATCACTGGAATCCATTCGTGCAGAAGCTGTCTCCAAGACTTAAGGATGAGGATCCAGCCAAATATAAGATGGTTCTAGAGATAATGGATGCAATTCACCTGTGTTTGATGCTAGTTGACGATGTATGTATACCATGGGCCTATATAAATACACTCTAACATCAAGCAGATAACCGACAATAGCGACTACCGAAAAGGCAAGCCAGCAGCCCACCGGATATATGGCCCTTCAGAGACAGCAAACCGCGCTTACTACCGAGTCACCCAAATTCTCAATGAGACTGTGCAGCGCTTCCCCAAGTTAGCCAAGTTCCTGCTACAAAATCTGGAAGAGATCCTCGAGGGCCAAGACCTGTCACTGATCTGGCGACGAGATGGGCTGGGTAGCCTTTCGACCGTTCCCGAGGAGCGAGTTGCAGCCTACCGCAAAATGGCGTCATTGAAAACAGGGGCGCTATTCCGGCTGCTGGGGCAATTGGTGATGGAGGACCAATCGATGGACGAGGCGATGACTACTCTTGCGTATGGCTCGCTTGATTTATTGCATATCACACCAAGTCTAGTTGAAGTTGAAGCTGACCTTGAGATAGGTGGTGCTCTCAGCTGCAGAACGATTGCAAAAATGTCTACTCATCCGAATATGCTAAGGCCAAGGGAGCACTTGCAGAAGATCTGCGTAATCGAGAGCTCTCATATCCAATCATTCTCGCGCTGGAAGCCCCCGAAGGGCATTGGGTCGCCAGTGCATTGGAGACCAGCTCACCGCGCAATATCCGCAAGGCACTTGCCGTGATTCAGAGCGAGAGAGTGCGCAATGCTTGTTTCAGAGAGCTCAAGTCGGCGAGTGCTTCGGTCCAGGACTGGTTGGCTATCTGGGGACGGAACGAGAAGATGAATCTGAAGAGCCAGCAGACATAGCTTTCCAATGTTTTGAGTCATACAGTTTCTCTTATGGTCTGAGGGTTGAGGAATCATTTTTCTTGAGATATGTTCTGGGCTTAATTTGTGCTATACATACAGGGTTAGATCAAAACAGCATATATCAACATTTATACGTGGGAGTCCAGAACCTTCAATGAGCAATGAATTGGTGTGCGATATTCCTGTCATCGTCAAAACTTACATTGACCCTGGAATACCATCCAGCTTGCTTCGGATGAAGTAATGCCATATATATAGTCCGAGCAGGTTGTGGTAGCATCATGCAAGCCACAGAGGGGGTACGTGCATGAGCCATGTTACAATTCGGACCACCATCAGCTGGTGTATCCCTGCTTCGCCAACACATCTATCAGACGTAGGATTCAGGACAGCCTAGGAAATCTGATTGATGCTGGCGCTGCGCTCACCGCAGCCACTATTCTTTCTACTCGCTCGTCTTCGCGACAGTGCTTCGTGTTCAATGTCTATGTACGGGGCCTCTAAAGCGGCGTTCGCTTCATAATCAACCTATTGTGTACAGGCTTACTGTGCTAGAGCTAATGGGCCAACAGAGCTTATGCATGGGCTGTCATACCTGCCATAATGTCTCCATACCCCATCCACAACCAAACAATCAGGGGTTACTTCCCTTCCCTATACTAATATTCATCCCTCATACACTCCCATACCAAACAACTCATCCCTTACTCACTTTAAACCCCAATCCTACCTCATACCACCAAATACATCACGATGACCCCACCCTTCCTCCCAACATCCCTCATTTCAGCCATCCTCGGCATCACCGCCCACCTAACATACTTCATCCACGCCGACCTCGAGAAGCACGTCGTCTTCCTGGCCAACTGCCTCATCTTCTGGCCCTTAGTCGGTCTAATAGCCCTCTGTATCCTGGGCTATAGAGATATTTCCCAATGGATCGGACCAGCAATACTGAGCTTTCACTTCTCGCTGTTAGCTTCCATAGCCATTTACCGATACTTCTTCCACGCGCTGGACGGGTTTCCAGGTCCAAAGCTGGCAAGGATTACAGCGCTGTGGGATTTCAAGAATACAGTGCTGGATGCGAAATGGTATATCAAGGTGAAGGAATTGCATGGGGTGTATGGGGATGTTGTTCGGATCAGTATTCCTCTCTTCCACTCTTCCCATGTGATTTGTACAGGGCCAATTGATTGAATAGAACCTAGGGAATTATCCATCAACGACCCATCTGCGGTCAAAGATATCTACGGCTTGGGGACCACATGCGTCAAGGGACCGTTCTACGATCTACATTATCCGCATCGATCGTTGCAAATGGCGAGGGATAAGGCGTTTCATTCGAAGAGGAGGAGATTGTGGGATCGCGGGTTTACGTCGAAAGGTAGGTTTGACATGCATTTTCTCTGAACAGTAAATTGACTGGCTGCTGTAATGACTAGCACTCGCTGGCTACGAACCGTATCTTCTGGAGCACTGCAAAGATATAGTCCGGGTTATTGGATCGCGATCATCGCAAGCACAGGAGGCGACGGCACTAATTGACGGCTTTGCGTGGGACTCGATGGGGATATTTGCGTTTGGGAAATCGTTCAATATGCTGCATGGGGAACCGCCGAAGATGCTGCAGATGATGAGGATGATGGGGCGCGGGGCGAGTGCCTTATTGAGTTCGAGCTGGCTGGTTATACTCATGAGGGGGATGGTGGGAGTGAGGCGGTTTACGGATAGATGGTTGGAGTGGTGTGCACAGTGTGTGGAGGAGAGGAGTAGGGTATGTATGTTTGCAGTTACTGTCTCTCTTCAGTTGTGGATGGTATAGGCTGATGTGTTTCAGGTCGAAACTGATCGCCGGGATCTCTTCAGCTACTTGATCGAAGAGTCAAGCTCTGAGGGAGACCAGTCCATAGGTGGTGTTGATGGGGATCTTGTTCGCGATTCAGAGCTCGCTATTACGGCTGGCAGCGATACTGCTGCTAGCACCCTTAATGCTCTGTTCTATCTCCTGGCGCGACATCCGGAGAAGCTGCGTCGGCTGCAGGAGGAAATAGACTCTGCTGTTCCAGCGGGTGAGGAGCTGTCTCATGCGGCGTTGGTGAAGAAGCCGTACCTGGAGGGGTGTATAAACGAGAGTCTGCGTCTTTGTCCGGCTGTTTTGAGCGGATTGCAGCGTGAGACAGGACCGGAAGGGCTCCGAACAGCGGGAGTCTATATTCCTCCAGGGATGATAGTGTCTGTACCGACATATACGGTTCAACGAGGTAGATCATCAACCTTTCCTGTGAAGATAAGAGCTGATTTCTTTCACGAAGACCAGCGCAACTTCCCCCGTCCAGGCGAGTTCATCCCAGAAAGATGGTCCACCCAGCCAGAGCTAGTCATTCATAAAGAAGCACTCAACGCGTTCTCGAGCGGCACGTACTCCTGTGCGGGAAAGGCATTTGCGATGATGGAGATGCGACTGCTCGTTTCCACGATTGTAAGGCACTTCGACATTGAGTTTCCACCAGGGGAAGGACAAGAACCGCTAGATAGATTGGGAGGAACGGGGCCATTAGACTGTTTCACAACACATATTCCAAAGTATTATCTACTCTTCAAAAAGAGGTAAATAGATAGATAGATTCCAATACAGTGTTGTGTTACCCCATATTGATCGTAGGTTGTCATGGAGTGTAGTGACGGTAGGCATCTACCATTACTGTTTCACTCCATTCACAGGCCGCATCCGGCCAGGCAGGAAACACGGTTAAGGCAGGGGTTTCAACCAAGGAACTCAACTTAAGCAGCACGAATTCCGTCTGACTTCAACTGCGTTATCCCTGTCTAACTGCTACTCCCTTCATGGAGGTTTCTTATTATCCCTTTACTTCCGTCTCACTTGATCATGGCCTCCAAAGAGGAAGAGCGCACAGGCCAACGGCCCAGCATCAGCATGTACGATCCCGCCCGAGACCGCTGGGAGGAGCAGCCTGTTGTTCCTGCTGAACCAGCGTCGGCTTCTGCTTCGATCGAAGCAACACCAACTCAGACAAGTGAAGCCAAACCGGTAAGTTGGCCATTTTTGTTCAGATTTAGTCCGCTCGAGAACTGTCTTTCTAGTGGAGAGAGCAAGTGGAGTCCTGCAGCCCATCCACTGCGAACTAAAGTGGCGCTTACGCTCGGCGGAGGCGGTGATTACTATTCTTCCCGCAAATAAAAGACTCCGAAAGAAAATGCTCCTGCGCGTCTGTCAATCTATCTGAGCGTGATATTTCTCACTGTTCCATATTCTTTTCATTGCAGGATATTCGACGCTGATTGCAGATGTTTATTGGGTTTTTCATATAGGTTCATGATTCTACTGTGACTTCTACCAGTGAATCTCTTCCTCTTCCTCAAACTACCACCACCGAGCCTTCTCAACAGCAGGAGCAGCAGCAGAAGCAGCCTCCTATCCCGACACCTCCATCCTCTCAATCACGCCGCAAACACAAAATAAACAAAATGGGTGACTACTATCGCTCTGGCTCTGCAGATGCCTACGCTGAGCAGAGCTCTCCTGCTGCCGATAGCCACAAGCGCAAGCTAGAGGACGAGACATCGGAGCAGCAGCCACCCGCCGACCAAGCGAACGACCGTCCCATCTCCAAGCGCAAGCGTCTCGAAGAACGACACCAGAAGCTGCGGAAACGCGGCCAGGCACCTCCCTCGGCTTACTCGCGCCGCGATGGCGACGAGACAGCAGCACGCGCAGCACCACGGCCCCGATCACCCTCACCGCCCCTTCCTCCGCGGTCTCCGTCGCCGGAAGTGCAGGCGCGTCAGCGTAAACGACCCGGTGGCGGTGCACGGCGAGGTCTCGTGGACCCGCAGACACTGCGGCGGCGACAGGAGGAGCGGGAGCGCGCGCTGGAAGAAGATGCGATGCGCAACTCGCAGAGCCGGGGAGTGACGGATATCGTGAGACAGCATTACAATGCAGTTCCGCAGCGGGGGCGGGAGTGGCGCAAGACGGAGAGTAAGATCAAGGGGCTGCGCAGTTTCAACAATTGGGTGAAGAGCACGTTGATTCAGAAGTTCTCGCCGGATGAGGAGTTCGTGGCGCGGGCAATTGGGACGAAGGATTGGGCGGATGGAACTGGGCCGCCGCCGATGGAGGAGAAACGGTTACTGGTGATTGATCTGGGATGTGGTAAGGGAGGTGATCTTGGGAAGTGGCAGCTTGCGCCGCAGCCGGTGGATCTCTACGTGGGACTGGATCCGGCGGAGGTGTCCATTATACAGGCGCGCGAGCGGTATGCGGGGATGCGTTCGGGCAGGGGACCTCGTGGTGGACGGAGGGGAGGGCCGCCGTTGTTTCATGGCGAGTTCCGGTCCAAGGATTGCTTTGGGGAGTGGTTGGGGGATGTTGATATTGTTCAGCAGGTGGGAATAGATCCGAATGTTGGACCTGGAGGGTCGATGATGGCGTCGCGATGGGGTGGGGGTGGGTTTGATGTGGTGACGTCTATGTTTGCCATTCACTATGCGTTTGAGAGTGAAGAGAAGGCTCGTCAGATGCTGCGCAATGTGGCGGGGTGTTTGAAGAAGGGTGGCCGGTTCATCGGCGTGTGTCCCAACTCGGACATTATCAGTGCCCGCGTGGCTGAGTTCAATGCGAAGCGCAAGGACCGCGAGGCGGCGAAGCAGGATGCAGAGCCAGAGGACGGTGAGGTGGAGGAGGAGGCGAAGGCAGAATGGGGGAATTCGATCTATCGGGTGCGATTCCCTGGAGATACGCCGGAGGATGGCATCTTCAGGCCGCCGTTTGGATGGAAATATAGCTACTTCATGGAGGAAGCCGTGGGCGAGATCCCGGAGTACGTGGTGCCGTGGGAGGCGTTCCGAGCGTGAGTCCATTCCATATATCATGGGACATTAATTACGATACTAATGAAGCAGGTTGACGGAGGAGTACAATCTGGAGCTGCAGTACCGCAAGCCGTTCATGGAGGTGTGGCGGGACGAAAAGGACGATCCGGAGCTGGGGCCGTTGAGTGAGCGGATGGGCGTGAGAGATCGCACGACAGGCGAGTTGACGATGACGCCGGAGGAGCAGGAGGCAGTCAGTAAGTATACACCCTGAGCTTTACTTCAGCTGAAGGAGAGAGTGCTAACGGGACAGGTTTCTATCATGCATTCTGCTTCTACAAGGTGTGAAGGATAAGATACATAGTATTAGAATTAGGGTAAATAGGATGTAATCGACATAATCAGCTCCATATCCATACTTGCTTCAATCCAACTATCATACAGTAGAACTATCCCTATAAAGTGTAGTTGGTATCGATATGATATCGATAAGATAAACTTCCCCAAAGACCATACTTCCCAAAACAGCCTAGCGCCGCGCATCGCGTCGCGTTCCTTTCAACTTATCTTTATCCATAATCGTTATAGCCTCAAAGAACTACCAACAAAGAAACTTACACCATATACCATATACCCTTCCTCTTCTCCTCTATCCTCCTTGCCACCTATATCCAAAACCCACCACCCACACCTTACCTCAATTATACACCACCACCACAACCAAATAACTCTCACCCAAAAGAAATCAACCAAAATGCCCAAACGCTCCCGCCCACCACCACCAACAGCCACCCCCGGACCAAGCGGAAGAAACAGAAACAGAGACAGAGACACCACCCCCCCTCTGCCCCCCTACCAACCCCCCACCAGCACCCTGACGACCCTATCCCACCAACCGACCACCGCACCCGCCCTCTCCGCCCTCCTCGCAACGCACACCTCCTCCACCTTAAAAACGCACCTCCAGCACGCGCAAGAGAAACTCACCGACGCCGCAGGCGAGATCAACGAGCGGTTAACGGACGCGAAAGAGAGGAGTAAGAAGTCGCGGGAGAGGAGGAGGAATCTACGTTCTCATACTTTGGAGAATAATAATAATGGTGATGGGGTAGATGAGGAAGGGGGGGATAGTGAGGACGAGGGGATTGAGGAATTCGAGGAGAGAGTGGCTCAGACGACCAAGGTATTGGAGGAGACTATTCGGGGGGTTATTGATGCGGAAGTGAGGGGGGAGGAACTTGGGAGGGTTATCTCGGGGTTGGAGGGCGGGGTTGCTGAACGGGTGAGGGTTAGGGGTGTGAGGAGGAGTCAGAGGGGAATTGGGAGAAGGTTGAGGGGGCATCATGGTGAGGATGAGGAGGATGAGGAGGAAGAAGGGGAGGATGTGGATGTCGATGAAGATGAGGAGGGCGCGGTGCCGTTCCTGGCGCAGTTTGAGGATGAGCTGCGCGGGAAGATGGAGGAGTATGAAGGGTTGAGTTTGACGAGACGGTATGTATATCCCCATTTCTCTCTCTATAATATTATACTTCCAGGTTTATTTACTAACGGAATCATGGTGGTAGGTATTCTACGAACAACTCCTACATAGGTTTCTACAAAATCATCCACGAAGCCAAACACATCGGCGACGAGATTCCCCCTCCGCCTCATCCGTCGACGTGGTTCGCTCACTTGGAAGATCCTCATTCTCAATCTCAACCACAATCTCATCCATCTACCTCTACCTCTGCTTCAACCACCACCGCCACCAGACAAACTAGACCCACCCGCGCTCGACCTCAACCCCCCTCCGAAGAAGAAGAAGATGATGATGATGATGACGAAATCGCCATCCAAACCGAACGCATATCGCTAAAATGCCCCCTCACGCTCCTCCCCTTCCGCGACCCCGTGACCAGCACGAAATGCCCACACAGTTTCGAGCGCGAGGCGATATTCACCATGATTAGCGGGAGTAATCAGATGGTGCCTGATCCAAGGGGATCATCTGGAAGTGGAAGAGCGAAGCGCGTGCGCAGCGTCAAGTGTCCTGTGTGCGAGGTGCAGTTGACGGAGTTTGATCTGCGGAGTGATCCTGTGCTAGTGAGACGGGTGAAGAGGGCGGAGATGGCGGAGTTGAGGAGGAGGGAGAGGGAGATGTTGGATGATGGGGAAGACGATCAGGATGGTGGTGACGGGGGTGGTGGTGGGGGGAAGAGGAAGAGGAGTGGGAGGAGGAGGGGGAGTGCGGTTGAGGTTGATGATGGTGATAGTGATGATGATAGTGGTGAGGATGATGGGGTGGAGAGGATTCGGGTTAAGAGGGAGAGAGGGATGTCTGTTGCTGCTAGGATTAAGCAGGAGAGGGCGGTGTCGATGGTTGGGGTTGGGGATGGGGATGTGGAAGAGGTTGATATGGATGAAGAAGGGGGAGGGGAAGAGGGTGGGTATGATTCTATGTATGATGAGTGATTTATCTAGCTACTACAAGCATTCATGTTTCTATTCTGTAGAAGCATACAGAGTAGACTTATTTATTGCCTATCTCTATTTAAATCTCTGCTATGTAGCTGCAATAAACACGGGTATAATAAATACAAACAGCCATTGAAACCATCAACCATCCATCGAAACACCATCCTCCATCCACAATCATTAGGGCATTTCGATCTTCTCCTGCATCTGTTCCAGACAGTGCAACCAGATCCGCACCTGTGCAATAATCACCGTCAAACGACAGCAACCGCGGCATTTGGAAAAAAAAAAGTTCAAGTAGTTGTCGACAAGCCAACAATATCATGTTGAATCAATGCTGCTACTTGGTAATCAAGTTCAGATAATCGGCCACGATAAGCGTCACCATCCTGTGGGTCTGGGGTTAGCCAAGGGCACTAGTCTAACAGTAAATGGTGGGGACACTAACGCATGAGGAGCGATCCGCACATAGTACGTTCCGAAACCGCGGTAGAACCGCAACCAGCCCTCCTCCTGGACGACCTTGCGCGCGCAATCCAAGACGCCCTTGTAGGGGAGCCGACCGGTCTTCGGATCCTTCTGCTGCTTCTGCAGGCGAGTCTTGACAAAGTCGAAAGGCAGGGAGAGGAAACTGGCAAAGAATCCCGCGATAGCGGACGCGGCAAAGGTCTGGTTCTGAGTCGACAGGCTAGTGTGCTTCTTCAGCTGCGCCTTGGACTCGGCAAAGAAGGTCAACTGGCCGACGTTGAGCGCCATGGCACGGATGACGGTGGGGAAAGCACCAGCCCACAGAGCCGGGACACCTTCGTGCTTGGAGATGCGGAAGAGCGCGTCCATGACGGAGCGGTAGTTGGCCCGCGCCTCGGGAGGCTTGAGACCGTCAGACTGCATACGCACCAGTGCCAGATCGGCCGGGTTGCCAATCATGGCGGCAATACCTCCGGCAGCTAAACCGGCACCGGCACGTTCGGCGAAGGTGACGCTGCGGTTGGCGGCTTCGGCACGCTTGTTGAGAGTCTTGCTGAAGGTGTCGAAGAAACCCAGGCGGGCGGTGGTGTAAACAGCCTGGCGCAGCAGTCCAGCTGACAGACCGGTGTACAGATCAAGTGCTTTGCCTGAGGCAATGATGTCGCGGGCCACGCCAAAGGCAGACGGGCGGGGACCGGTGCGCACACCTTCACCGGCGAGCTGCAAACGGACTTTGATCATGTCGATGGGCTGGATCACGACCGTGGCGGTCATGCCGGCCAGGCCACCGTTCACGAAGGGAAGAGCAGCACGGGTGTAAGGGTGATGGAGGAAATCGACGGCGGGCTGGGGCTCTTTGGCCGCGGTGGGGGAGGCCATGTTGACGAGGAAGCAGGATTCACACCAGATCTAGAGGGTGAACGAGGGTTAATGCGAACACTTTGGAAGGTGAGGCGGATGAGACGCGCCGAACGAAGGATTCAAGAGGAGGAATACAGATGAACGAAGGATGAAACGCGAAATAAAAGACAACACGATACACGGTGTGGGGGGTAGTGGAGAGACGACCATCTAGCCATGAAAAGAATCGAGTGCCTGGCTCAGCAAAGAGAGGACAGATTTTCTTTGCCAGGCACTTTCAGCATGACCGACCGTGACGTGAGGAAACGCGGGAGGGGAGATTCAACGTACCGTGGATGCACAGGTGGGCGAAGAGGGGAACCCGGTAGAGTCACGAAAAGGCCCGACGAGAATCAGTAGGAAGTGGTGAACCGGGTTTTGTTGAGGAGGAGAAGTTGGGACAGTCAGATGATGGGGGAAGCGGAGGTGCAAGGCGACGAAGAAGTGAGGAGGCGAGAGTTGGCAGTGAGTGAATGGATTAATTTGCAAGGTTGTACAACTGGAGGCAAGTCTCTGGGTGGGTGATTCTGATACTTATAACTTGTGCATGAGTTGCATGAGTCAAGGTAGCATTCACGGGGATTCGATGATGTATTTGTATGCCTTCGATTCCATCCGAGAAGCCGACCAAGGAAACAAGCAGTATCTACTTGATGGACTGACAGTCGAATTCTCTCCAGACTGGGTAACTATTTCCATCCCCACTTTTGTTAGCCGATGCCAAACTTAAGGCCCGAGCGATCGATGAGGATTTAGTAGTGTTTGGTAGTATACCCAGTCAGTAAGTACTTGCTGCACGATGCCGCCAGCTGGAAAATGCGGGGTTGCCACGTCTGATGTCCTTTTTTTAATCATGTTACTTGTGTCTTCGATGAAGTTGTTCTCATCTCTACTGATGCTGTAACTCTACTTCTTCTTCCAATAACAGTAATACTTTTTGGAAACTATCAGTGTATTGCAAATATCCAGAAATCCATACAAACAGCTACTAATACCAAAACGTCATGGCGGGGAATAATCGTCCATCATACATAATTACCGTATCTCCCCACACCCCCGCTAAACCCCATCGGGACTAACCACGAGAACGGTCCGGTTTGCGCTGCTTCTTGCCGCCTTCCCGAGGTTATCTCTCCTCCTTCCCCAGTCTTGACTAGCGATTAGTCATAAATGCTGTGAATGGGAAATATTCCCAAAGCTTGGTCTCGTCGATCAGTCTAAGGTAGGTACTGTCTGTCCCCTCGGAGATATCTGGTCATATAACATATTCTTTTTTTCGACGTCAACACCAGTATACCAGTATACCAGCTACTATGTAGTAGTACTGCCTTCTAGAAACAAGACAGTAGACGCATGATATCACAATATCATCTACAAATAACAGTACTGCATCCCCGGAATAATCATCTCCAGATCCCATCCTGAATGCTGCATTATCTCCTTTCCACCGATTCCTCCGACTTTCGGCCCTTCTCCCCCTTTGTGTCTGCCACTGTCAGCCGGAGAAGATCTCCTCCGTCCTCACTTCAGTGACAAAGTGATGACTACTCAGTGGCGTAGCAACTATCTATGATCGAATAGCAGGATGCCAGTCAAGTAGCCGGGAACGTGGATGACTCGGTTGGCGGTAACTTGTTGGCTATATCCCGGAGCACTGATCTCCTAGTCTCGTACTCCTATGTTGGGAATCTACATCTACCTACAACAACAGACCCATCAAAGCTAGTAGACAATACACGCGGTATCGTAATTACAATTCCAAAAAGGGTCCTCTCGATCCCCCAACTATTCCAATAAGACACCCCTTTTCTCCATACTGAGTACTAGATAGTGGATGGACTGGGGCGACGGATACCTTCGCGGCAACCACTCCCCCCTGGCGGCAGCACGTCTCGGGATCCCGGAGCGGGTGAGGCGGGTATCGGTAGTCGCGCGCGGTGAGATTCATCTCTAACCCTCGGGTACTCTCCCGGGACAGGACCCAGCAAGGAGTAATCACCGGCTTTCTGACTGGCTGGTTACCCTGTCAGGAGGTCCAGGCCCCCAGGCGGATTAGCTACTGGGGCTTAGACTACGATCCTGTCTGTGGGGACTACCTGCCACAAGCGAGCTGCAAAGAAAACAGCCGATTCTCGCTGGAATGCCCGTCTCATATCGGAGTAATTGTCATCTGCATGCTTTCACCTACTGATCTGGCGGCCTATATTGCTCCTTGTATCCGGCGGAATAGCCGACTTGGTTTGTCCTTTGCTCTGTCTGCCCGCGCAGCCGAAATGAAGGATCGGCCCTCGTTTCTGGCTGATGATGTGCTCGTAGAGTTGAGATTCCTGCGAATTTGTTGGCCCAATGCCCGCTCCCGCAGGTCTGTTCCGGCGGCCGTGGCTGGCCGTCAAGAGTCGTAGCTTCACATGATGCTCACCAGCGCCAGCTGGAGCTCTAGCTGCGCTAGATGTCGCCCAATGTACGCGTGCGTGCCTTGCGAGAATGTCGTGGACGCCGCCGAGATAACGCCGAGTTTTTCTGTCCTTAACTCTGCTTCGTTGGACAGCCATCTCTTGGGAAAATATTCGTCCGGGCGAGGGAAATACAACGGGTTGTGGTGGATGCTATAAATGCTTGTACCGACGCTACACCCGACTGGAATCATGGCCGTCCACTATGATTGTGTCGCCTTTCTCGACCGGACGGTACGGGCATCTTGCCACGGCCGGCGAGTTGCGTAGGGTCTCCTTGATGCAGGCTTGGAAGTATGTGCATTGCTGCATCAATTGGCTGCTGCGGATGTCATCCGGTGTGGGTAACACGCTCCATACGTTGTGCGCCAGTTTCTCGTACGTGGTGGATAGATTGCCAGGTAGAGATTCGCGCACAGACTGACGGGAGTGAAATACGAACCTGGGTATGTTAGTGTTGATCATCTACCGAAGCGGGAGACCTACCAACAGCCAGCATTGCCGATTCAGAATATACATCCGCATCAGTCAACCCCGGGCCTGTGGCACTGTCGTGGGCCTTGATCAACTAACTGAAGACGTGTCCGGACATACTCGCCGCGTCTGCCATCATGCCATTGACCAGCCGATGATATCGCTTCATCCCTCGAACATCCTTGAACAACTTCTCGCCCAGCCGACCGAGAAACACCTACGGCGCATGCATTAGCAGCAATAATCGCTTCATCATCCCCAAGGCATCGTACACCGTACATTGGAAATGCTGGCTGCCAAGCAGATTACGGGCCTTGCCGAATACAAGATCGATGATCACGTCGAAGGCAAAGTAGCTGCACTATTCCGGCATGGTCATCGGTACAATTGCGCGAGATAGAGGGAATCGCGGAACTTGGGAACATGCGACAGATGATTCGGTTCGCATTCCCACATAGTGGTACTTGAGAAACCAGGTCCGATGATTTTAGTCCGTTTGGCATGTTCTTTTGGACTCGTCACGGTTAGGAGGTTCTTCGTTCCCACTTGGATTGCTCCATAGTGGACCTCCTGTCGCAATTTTTTTTTTTTCTTTTTTTTTTTCCTGGATATCTAGCCTTGTCAGTACTGTCTCAATAATAACAACTGACAACCAAACTTGCAATCCACTTTCCGGGTTGAAGATGACCAGATCCGGCGTGTACCGAACAATTTGGCTTACTACAGTCAGCACAGACCCTGCTCAGCCTGCAGACACCGTACCATGATTCTGACACCAAATTATATGTAGATGCAAATCTCCCTTGGCGGCGTGATATGCTGCTTCGACCTCAGGGGAATTTTCCAGCCACGGACCGGGACACCTGGCCAGCGGATGAAAGTAGACTTGGTATATGATATATCCTAGGATCTGCGGTTGTCAGCTACATTTTCATCAGGATTAAAATGAGCAAACAGTAATAAACTTACACTGGCAATAATAACGCCAGCTCCCACTGGGATTTGAGAGAGGATGGAGAGAGGAAAAGAGACTGTCTATGATGTTGTTGTCTTCAAGCCTTTCTCACGGCGACAGCATAGATGCACTATGACAGATATCTTTCACTGAAAACTCACACCAAGCAGAGCCGGCGATACGCTTGTATGAGGATCCTCTGGGTTTGCCATTGTGAGAGGGGAACTTTCATCAATAGTTCTAATGGCAAGGCATGTAGCGTGTCATAAAGTATAGGTAAAGCAAATGTAGGCCACATATTGGAAAGGCTCTCCTTGGAAATCAAAGTGCGTCCGTTGATGCAAGTCTACAAAGTTAACGCGTCAGCGTGCAGCTAGCAGCTCTGATTCGTGCGACCGAATAGGGTGAAGGGTGGGCAGTAAAGAATTCGCATTTCCATGAGACTGTTGGACTTCCTTGCACAAGATCGGCCATTATCATGATAATTGGTAGAGAGGTGCGCGAACCATGTCGCGAAGTGGGTGACAGAACCTGGAGTTGGACCGGAACCTGGACTGTCTTTCTGCTGGTGGCGTCAGAAGGTAGATTGCTGATGCTTTGACTCTAGATCGTCTTGAAACATAGATTAGAAGTATAGATAACCAAAGGTTTACGGTCGGGGCATCACAGCAACCAGTTGCAGATAGCATACGGATGGATGGCAGGCGGCGTTGCGGAAAAGCAACGAGCGAGTTGCAGACGCTAAACGGCGATCACATGTGGAGCAAGGATCGACCCCCCTGTTCATCCCCGTGACCCGCTGTGGATTCAAGGAAGGCTTGCTACGGTGGTTGCTAGGATAGATTGAACAATTCTAGAGGATGATATAAAGGTATAATTTTGAATTCAATTTCTAATCGTTACCTCGACTTCTAAAGAAGCCAAAACCCAAAAGGAAATGCCAATGGTATTTTCCCCGCCGGCCGGGGTAGGCCACACATGGTAGTGGAAGATTCAAATGACCCATGATTGGAAACGCAGCACGCCATGCAAGATATCAAAAGCAGATAAAAGGAAATGTAAAATCAGAATGCGAAATAATTTACTGAGGCACCGGACCGGCCGCAATGACCTCGGGGGTCGCTTGGTCAGCGTACTTGCCGAAGTTGTCGTTGAACAGCTTGGCAAGCTTGTTGACCTCGTCCGAGAAGTTCGTCGAGGCGGTCCAGCTGTTCTTGGGGTTGAGGAGCTCGGAAGGAACACCGGGGCAGCTCTTGGGAACGTGCAGGTTGAACACATCGTAGGTCTCGTACTCGACCTCGTTGAGGGAGCCGTTGTGGATGGCGTCCAGGATGGCACGGGTGTACTTGAGAGGGCAACGCTTACCACCGGTGGTAGCGCCAGCACCAACCCAACCGGTGTTGAGCAGCCAGGCGTTGGCCTTGTGCTGCGAGATCTTGTCCGCCAACATGCGGGCGTAGCGCATGGGGTGCAGGGCCAGGAAGGGCTGGGCGAAGCAGGAGGAGAAGGTAGCCTGGGGCTCGGTGACACCGTCCTCAGTACCAGCCATCTTGGAGGTGTAACCCGAGATGAAGTGGAACATGGTCTGCTCGGTGGTGAGCTTGGAGATCGGGGGGAGGACACCACGGGCATCGCAGGTGAGGAGGATGATGTTCGAGGGGTGCTTGTCGGACAAGCAGGGGATCTTGGCGTTCTCAATGTACTCGATGGGGTAGGCACAGCGGGTGTTCTCAGTAAGGGTGGAGTCGTCGTAGTTGACAACACGGGAGATGGGGTCAAAGACAACGTTCTCGAGGACGGATCCGAAGCGGATGGCGTTGAAAATATCGGGCTCCTTCTCAGCGGAGAGGCCAATGCACTTGGCGTAGCAGCCACCCTCGATGTTGAAGACACCACGGTCGGTCCAGCAGTGCTCGTCGTCACCGATCAGGGCACGGTTGGGGTCGGCAGACAGAGTGGTCTTGCCAGTACCCGAAAGACCGAAGAAGACGGTCACGTCGCCGTCCTTGCCCTCGTTGGCCGAGGAGTGGAGGGTCAGAACGTTGTGCTTGACGGGCATCTCGTAGAAGAGGACAGTGAAGACACCCTTCTTCATCTCACCAGCGTACTCGGTACCCAGGATGACCATCTCCTTCTCGGCGAAGTTGATGGCGACGGAGGTGGCGGAGGTCATACCCTCAGTGAAGCGGTTGGCGGGGAAAGAACCAGCGTTGTAGATAACGTAGTCGGGATGGAAGTGCTTCAGCTCCTCCTGGGAGGGGCGGATAAGCATGTTGCGCATGAAGAGAGCATGGTAGGCACGGGCGCAGACGACACGGACGCTGATGCGGTATCTCTCGTCCCAGCCGGCGAAACCATCGATAACGTAGATGCGGTTACGGGTGTTGAGGTAGTCGACAGCACGCTCACGGTTGATGCGCCAGACCTGCAAGTCGGGATGCCGTTAGCAAAGAAGTTCGGATCATGTATGACGTCATCTGGACGACCCCGACAAGGCGCAAGTAGGCGAAACAAGCATTCTCAGGAACACAGCCGGACAGAACCCAAATTCTTGTGTCGCACAGCAGTCGCAAGACAGAAAATGCCTCAAAAAAGTCTATAATGAGGCATTTCTTTCTCCCCGATGTGCTGCCAGAAAAGCTTGGGTCCATGCCAGCTGCAGGCCCATGCAAGGGATGATCTTTATGCGTGATATATTGCACTTGCAGGGGAACCCCAAAAAATGACAGCAACGAAGGGGAAACACGTACATCAGGAGTCATGGGCTTGTTGACAGGTCCCCACCAGACATCGTTCTCGGAGGTCTCCTCCTTGACGATACGCTTATCGGAAGGAGAGCGACCAGTCTTAGCTCCAGAGTAGGCAGTCAGGGCACCGCTGGAGGTGATAGCAGTACCAGTCTCGTAGACCAGAGCATCTTCGTAGAGAGCAGGGACAGCAGGGTTGGCAATCTATTTTGATTAGCAAGGCTCAAAAGCATTGCGACGGGTAAGCTTACAATAGCGACGCGGTCATAGTCAATGTGGGCGTGTTCGTGAAGCTCTTCCTCGAGCTCAGTGTGACCCTTGCCTGGCCTGGAGAGTCATGGTTAGCAATGATCTATACCAGGCAAGGTCATAGAATGATATGCGACGCATTGCGCAGGCCGTTGAGGGTAACCCCGAGCAATGCGACAAACATATCAAGAAAGGAACGGGTAGATAGAGAAGGACAAGACATACTGAACACCACCAGGGTGCAGAGCAGTGCGATTCACCGAAGCAGCAACCATGTTTCTTAGTGAGGTAGAATGATAGTTATTATTTCTTTGTTTTGCGAGTTGCTGTTGGAAGAAATCTGAAGCGAGAGGACCAGGTTCAGCGGGGGAAACGGGGGGTATATGAATGTTTGTCGCAGGACTCATAATGGGCGATCGAAGACGCCTGAACGTGTGGAATTGCAGCTGGAAATGTTTACTCCACCGTTCCACGGAAGATGTCGGGGCAGCAGACCGAATCTGGACGACGATGGTTATCGTGAAGAGTGGAAAAGGAAGACAAATGCCTCGAATTGAAGCCCGAAAAGTCCCGAACCCCAGATGTGGGCACGAGGTGGTCCCGGAAGGGATGGCGGATGCACCAACTAGAAGTGAGCAAATAACACAAGCTTCGGAAACAGGATCAGAGATTTGAGGCGGTATCACGGATAGCGCGTCAGGGGATGATGAATTAATGTCTCATTAACGGCACTAGTGGGAGTTGGTACGCAGGTTTGGAGTGCTTTGGAGTACAGGGATGGGACGCTGAAGCTGCTAGTGAGGGCCAGAGTGGGAATTCGTGGCCCCGGCGCTACGGGAACGAGGTATTTATCATTATGTGATGGTCTTGCAGCCTGCCGCGCGCAGCCACCACCGGATCATCGAGTGAATGAATGCTGAAAAGAGGTCATTCAATTACAATTTACAGAGTTCCAAGGACAAAAGAACCGTCTACTCCTGTTAGCTGGCGGAACAAATAACAATGGACGTAGAGAGACGGGCAGATGGAACGGGTTGGAGTGGTGACGTTGAATGAGCTCAATGTAAGAGATGGAGTCTAGAGGCGATAAAACAAACCATAGCTGCGTACTAGGGAAATTGCGGGGGGAAGGAAGATTTCTTTCTTTTTTTCTTTTCTCTTTTTCGGCTAGGAGGGCTGGACTATACCCGACCAGGCGACTCGTGTGTAATGCATTGCCAGGACTGGCTGAGAACTGGCACAAACTGGAGACAGAGTTAGTACTGCTTTCAAGTCTGGGCCCGACCAAAAACGCAGAAGCAGCGATTGCGAATGGAATCCTTCCGAGTGACGAAATGCCGGGGGAGAATCTCGGGTTCCCCTCGTCCGCACTTTCCCGCTTCCGGTATCATCTTAGTCATCCCCTTCCCGAAACGTTCCTGCCCGCCACCAATCAGCATCCGGATGCGCGACCGATGGACGATCCAACGTCACTATCATGGGCAGAAGATATTGCCGTCTTTTCGGGCTCGAGCACTATATTCGGGTGCGCTGTAATTTGAGGCAAATGAGAGCTATCAGCTGGATCCGAGTCACATTTCTGGGATTCCATGTCATACCGATGCGTGCTTTTGCCATTGTCTACCCGCTACGTGGACCCTTGAAGGATGTCCCCCCTTACTGCAGTAATATCCCTCATACATGAGTCTCAGTTCTTATCTACTAACTGTAGGTTACAAATATGAGATGCATGGATGCTGAAAAATTCTTATTCTCTCAGTATGAGTAGATAAAAAAAAGGGGGCTTCCTAACAACCACGATAATTGCACATGATAGATCAACTTCGCCCCCTTTCCGAGTTCCCAAGAATATCCGAGTTGCCGCCCCCGGCTTTGGTCAGGTGCCTGGAACACCCCCATTTTTGCCTCCCACGCGGACAATCAAAGAAATGGCGTATGACGCATTGGCCAAGAAAACGTAGGCCGGGATGTTATCACGGTAGATACATGCGACGGAGAATTGGTGCCCTGGCATTGGATTCAGCCAAGATGTCACTGCGGTGTCTTTCCCCTATCGAGCCACAGCAGCAATCTGTACCCCGCATCCGAGGAGTGCCGGGGCCACGCGGGCCTTTCCCCGGATGTTCTCGTCCCTTGGGGGTAATCCGATTCCGGCTAGAGCGTAGATTAAACGCTTTTCCGGTTGGTGGATTCGGTAGTCTACTGGTTGGCGAGAGGTCTGTTTGAATATTGCTGGTGATGAAGGGTCTATACGAGTGTTTCTGAACATTGTAGCCTTCCATTGCACACAAGTCACCTGTCCTAGTCTGTGCTTATGTGTTATCTATCATTTGGTTTTCGTGTCGGATACGAACTACAGTTTCGGCTCCTCTAACAGGCTGTTAGGCTGTTAGCTTCCGTGCCTAATTCGATACATCTGCCTTCACCGACTTCTACGCCACCACTTCATACATTGAGACCCTGCAATGCACTTATCCGCAATCAATTTGTGTTATTTGGGAATAGCTACTATAAACGGGGAGATGAGGCCGCAATACGTGTAGTTTAGCCAGTAACTTGGGTATCAAGTTCATTTGTATCACTCAGTACCATATTATATATTTTCCTCCGCACTACGCTCCTGTGGTCGTAAATACTATGTGACATTGGACTTCATACAGTAGTACTGTTGATTGCAGACAACAGAAACACGAATGGATCTTCCAGTTGCTAAAATTCCAATTTTCTAATTACAGCATAAAGTACAATTATCGAAAAGCTAGCGGCAATAGTATGCTGGAGGATGCACGACCTGGCGAATGAAAACAGTCCTCTCCGGTTGTCTCTGTGCACATGACACATTTCCATATTCGACATAGTAAAGTATATGGAAATAATCGTCGAGCTCATGAAGGATTCGATGCCATTTAGTACTAACGCTGGAGCGAGCTAGCCAGTGGAGTAGCTCCAATCGCTCATCTAGACCGGCCGGCATGATTTTGTCTTTTCCTGATCAAGGCATCTGCCTAATGTATGTGCGCGTGATGGGGTTTCTCAGCTCCAGTTCATTCTGTACCTGGCCAGGCTAGTGTGGATACCTGCAGACTGCACGGACAGGTAGCTCCTGCGTGCATGCCGCATAGGGTACGATAATCGGAGAAGCTCGCTGTCCTTTGATGAAAGACTGATAACCTACACGAGTAAGTTGTGTCTGTCAGATGCGTTGGACTGTCCGTCCTACTGTCTGCTTTGTTTCTGGTCGTGGTTCCGACCACACATTCTTATCTCGCAAGAAGACTTTCAACGGAATCACTAGAAGCTTTTGAATCAGCGCATCAAGTAAGTTCTGCTGCTCCCAATGGATAGGCAGAACATCGGAATATCATCCGATTTCTTCGGCAAGTCTCATAGTATCTGCCAAAAAGACCAGGATAAAAATAGTTGGTGACTCAGTGCGATTAACGGTATATCTTGGGACAGAAGAGGCTTAATTTATATAGTTGGTCCGAGAATGGAAAAGACTGATCTAGCAAGGCTACCGCTATCTGCCACTATCATCCAACCTCCCGAGTCGTCGGTATCTGAGACGCGTTTTAAACAAGCCCAATAACTGCAAATTACTCTCTACATTGGTCACTGTGTCGCATTTTCAGCCCTTGACCATCGCAGATTATCCTCCTTATCATTTGCGTATAGCACACGGTAGGCAAGTTTTCTAATTCCCATCAACAAGATTGAGACCACCCGTCCGAATTTTTAACTCCTTGATCAATGAGCTGCCTTTTTCTGCGAAAAATCAAATACACCTCACTTTGTACATTCTAAGCGCGCCGATATTGGCTATCACTGATACTCAAACCCACGTCTCAGCCTCGATTCCAACCTTGAGTCCGCCCCTACCATGCCGTGTAACCGGTCATCCGGTCTATATATGAATCTCAACGAATGTTTCACCTCACTAACGACCAGTATCATGCATCTGAGGCATTGAGTGTCTATATCAAGGTAGGCATTACTACATACTGCCTGGATTCACCTCAGTAACTAATGAGATAGGCGCATAAGGATCTCTGATGTCAGCTAGCCATAGCGCATCATGACAGTTTCGTCTGAAATAGCTTTTTTTGGCGTCAACGGTGATCCCTCGAAGATACCCTCAGGAAGATGTGCAAGGTCTCGAACTAGCGGTATAAGAAGACCTTGGATGCCCGCCGCAACAAGATCATCCCGAGCAGCATCGCAGCAGGCTCAAACATTCACATACCGCAGGCCCTGAAACAAGAAGTCTTCTCATTCTCTTAGGAACGAACCAAACCAAATCATCCCAGGCATAATACAGCTCTTTATCCCCACCCTCTTCACCACCGTCATCCTGCCCCAGGCAGCCGAGCCTGGAAATCAATGCCATGGTCTCTCGCGACGGCAACACGGACGTCGACGACAACTGGGTTGACTGTGACACCTCCTGGTAAGGCGAGGGCCATTCTTTTCTGTCCCAAGCAACAACCCAGACCTGCACAAGAGCAGCACACCATTTTTAGGCCTGTCTTCCTGACATGACCTAATCTAACGCGCTACGCTGAAATGAAAGGAACGCCCTCGACATGGCGCCCAAATCTCGGGCCTTCAACTGCAATAATGGTCAACACAGCGTTAGGAATAACAAGCAGTCCCCAGTGATATCGCATACAATCCTTGAACCATGTAACATGCGTCGATCACTAACAAGCCCCCACTCACATCATGCACACGAACACTCCCAAGAAAACATCAATCAGTTACCACCTCACAACTATACTCCCCTCCCCACTTACACTATATTACTACAATAGCTACCCTACAACTAGGAATCATTGATCACATTGTTATCCCACAGAAAAGCAAATCTTCGCAAACAAAAACAAAAATAATCATCTGGTGCACTCGCTTCTTATCGCCCAGCTAACTCGAACCAATCACACCCCGCGGATCCCGCATCAGGCGGGGCAAGTAAGAAGAATATCACGCGCGCCGCGGCGGGGTTCGCCAGCACAGCAGAATGCGTGAATCATCGCTAGGGGATTATTAAATATTTGTATTACTCTTTTTCTTCTTCTTCTCCTTCTTCTCTCTCCTTCTACGTACACTATCGAGACGTTGCTTCCTAGCTTCATACGCGTTCAGGTGAGTAGTAGAGACTTGATACTCCTGGCGATGATAAACAACTTTTGCTAATTAATGACTCATAGTTAACTTCACTTCTCTAGACGAGACAAACACACATCCAAATCTATCAAAATGGCCGGTGCTCACCAAGCTTGCCCCTCCTGCGGCGCTGCCATCCCTGGCGAGACTAAGACTTGTGGATCTTGCGGAAAGGTATTTGGTTCTTTTTTGCTTCTTTACTGTATAAGTATCCTGGATGTTCGCTGATTACAATATTCCTATGATAGACCTGCCCTGTTTAAACTCGCTTCGCTTCGATTCGGAGACGATATCTGGCGTTTGGGGGTTGTGTGCGCGAGGATGTGATAAGTAGGCGAAGGGAGGGGATGTGATTATATAACGTGTTGATGAGTGATGACGACGACGATGATGAAAAGAAATGAGATGATCGAATGAGAGTGTATTAATTCGTTCTTTGTAAGGGTATAGATTACACCATAGTCCTCATATCCACGGTTCGAGTGTTCGACCTTTCGGACTGCGTCGAGAGTCGCTCTATACTTCGATCAGGACTATCCTCTCTCGACCGAAGCATGGTTTCCGTGTCCTCTTTATTCTCCTCGTCTTGTTCATCGTCGCTCTCTGATGGCCGCGAGAACCGGTTATTGAGGACCATCGAGTGGCGTTGGGGATCCATCGTGCTGTTGTTGGGTAGAGGCTCGTTCTCTGAGAGAAGGACGACGGTGACTGGATGATCGCAGATACGGGGTACTTTGAGAAGACTGTAGAGTGCGTTGAGGGCAGGAACAGATATGCCGTGGACTACGATGGAGAATAGAACTAGCCAATAGACGACTGTATCACCGTTGGTTAGAGATTATCTGCCGATTCGGAGTGCAATGCAGACATACCTGGCACCATCGCAGCAGTCATGCTGTTGATCTCTTCGTCACTTTGTCCGGGAGGAGGGAAGAGTCGACGGGTATACTCCACGTACGA